AGAGGAGGAGAGAGAGAGAGAGAGAGAGAGAGAGAGGAAGTGGATGACTAGCATCTGTAAACCCTTCCCATTCATATCCGCATGAGCAATCGTATCATCTCGTTGCATGTTTTACCAAAAACACAACCACCTCAATCATCAAAACCCTACGCAGCCACAACCCCCTGTTTCCCACCACCAACAGCAACACCCTGCCCAACCTCCCCCTTCTGCCGCTGCCGCTGCTCCTCCTCCTCCTCCTCCTGCCTCATCTTCAAAGCCGCAAAATTCCTCTCCATAGCCCTCCTCGTAAACTCCCTCCCAGTAACCAACGGATACTTCTTCCTGGGCCCCTGAATCTCACAATCCACATTTGGCTGATTAAAAAACGCAATACTATACCTCGCACCAAAATCATCCCTCTCAACATCCCTCGGCGCCAAAACCCGATGAAACGTAGATTTGAACCGATCATCCGACCACGACATGAGTAAATCCCCAATATTACACACAATATCCCCTCGCGCAAATTCCACTTTCGTCCACGTATCGCCCATCCCAAACGATGTCACGACTTCGCGCCCAGGACAGATTTCTAATCCGCTATAGCCCGGCTGACGTTGGAATAAGAGCGTGAGAAGATCCCAGTCGGCGTGTGCGCCCGCTCGATGGTAATCTGGTGGGAGCGGGAGAGAAGTTTTCTTGTCGATTTCGAAATAGTGTAAAAGACGTAAAACAGATTGAGAATCCGGACGAGAAGGATCGTGAGCTTGAATGAAATGCCGATCAGGAAAACCCAGACCCCGAGCAAAACACAACATGAGTTTTTCCGAGACGGATTGAGCTTTGTGCATAAAATGTTGGGCATCGAGTTTGAAATGAGGGAGAAAAGATTCGTGGATCCATTTGTCTTTCATGTGGACTCCGAATTGGAGTTGGTAGCTTTCTTTTTGGTCTGCGACGCCTGTGGAAGGTCGGATTTGGCCCTTTTTTTCCCATCCGACGTTTTTGCTGCTGAAGGGGACGGTGCTTTTGACGTCGTCGGGGAGTGCGAAGAAGGACTCGGATGTGGCGAAGATGGCGTCAATTTCTGCTATCGAGATTTCGGTATCGGTGATGGAGAAGAAGCCATCCGTTTCTGCTGCTTGTACGAGCTGGGATGTGATTTCGTCGATTCGATTGTCGAAGTCCTTGAGGCTGATTCGCGGTATGCTTCGATTGGTGTACTTGGTGGCGCTCATTGTGCCTCTTGCAACAGAGCTCTAGCTGTGGTACGTCCAATGTGATGACCCTGCTGGAGTCAATATTGTATCAAGGCGACGATGTCCGCCTTGTCATTACAGCAGCACGCCTGAGCTGTTCAGCTCCGTCTGTAGCAGTATGGAAGTACGGCCAAGGCTGATAGGCAGGATAAGATGCGAGCTCGAGGATGTGAGGTCGGGCAACTCACGTGAGGTGGCCGTAGGGGCGATTCATCGTATTAGGAGCCTCAGCCTCTCCCTCGGTCGGCAAGCACAATGTGTCCACTAGATAAGAGCAGTTCACGTCGACTTGTGGTTGGCCTGGAGGTTGTAGTTTATATACACGTAGTTGAGAGCAGAAATACAACCCCAACCACTTCATCTAAGGGGGCATGGCACTACATGTACCTAGGTACGTAACTTTTGGGTGCTTTCAGTCCTTGAAGTCTATATCGAGATCTCTCCCGGTTCTACTTTTTAAGAAGGCATCCCCCGTGAAGACGCGGCTGGTTCAAGGGGATCAAGGCACTCCCGCCACCTTCCAGACCTTGACAGCAGCATCAGCACCAGTCGATATGACTCTGTCGTCCTCTGTCCATGCAACAGCACCCACGCCTTCTTTGTGGGCATTCGGTGCCTTAATACGCTTCCCGGGATCGGTCAAAGACCATACGAATACATTCGTATCCAGCCCGCCCGACACCGCCTTCTTATTATCTGGGCTCCAAGCAAGAGTGGTAACCCGAGCAGTATGTGCCGACCAGCGATTCGTTTCGAGCGTCCAGGCTCCAGAGGCGTTCGAATAAGCAAAGATTTTGCCACTTGACAGGCCCACGGCCAGGTATTTTCCGTCTCCAGAAAACGAAAGTGCCGAGATGGGAGCGGTCGCCTCTTTCAGGGTGACAATCTCTGAAAAGGACGAGGGCGATGAGGCATCGAAAATGCGAACGACTTTGTCATCTGACCCGGCTGCGATGATGCTGCCCGACGCTGCAAGTGCAGTCGGGGGAGCTGGTGTCTTTTGTAATCCGATACTCTCGCCATCGACATAGGATGCGATGCCTGCAGCCGTCGCCACGAGGGTATGCGGACTGCCACCAATAACAGCGACAGTCGCTGCCTTGGGTTGGCCTTCTGTCTTCACCGCCCCTACGAATGACTTTTGCGAAGAATCAATGGTTCGCAGAAAGTCGTCCCACCCGACCGAGAAGATGCGTGCGCTTTTGCTGTCAGCGTTCGGCACGGCAGAAACGCTGGCCACATAATTGGAGTGTGGCTCGCCATCAATCATTGCTGCTGACCCTGCAGAGACGTCCCATGCTCGGAGTCGTCCATCTGCACCGCCGGTCCATAATGTTTGTCCATCGCTCGGTGCTGTTGCCGCAGTCACAGCTTTTTGATGTCCTCGCACTACTCTGATGGGCTTGTCGTCGCCTAACTTGAAGTAGTTGAGGTTTCCTTCCAGGTCCACGGATATGATCAAGCCATCACTTCTCCCTTGTGGCCACACCACTCCCACCTGCTGATCAGGTACACTTGATTTCCCTTCCGGGCCCATCTTCCAGCTTTGTACGAGCTTTCCACTCTCCACATCCCACACCTTCACCGTCTGGTCGCCCGATGCTGTGACCACCTTCTTACCATCAGGACTCCAGCTGACGCCAAAGATGGATCCTTTGTGCGCATCCTCGCCCTCCCCGATCTGCTTGACCGCCTCTCCCGTCTTGCCATCATAGATCCATATCCGCCGATCACTTCCCACAGTCACCAGGCTGCTGCCGTCCGGACTGAATTGTGTGCCATAGACAAATTTGTCGTGCTTTCCTCGAACACTCGTATTGAACTTGAATGGAGCTCCGTGAAAGAAGCACATGCTCATATCATCACTCCCCGTTGCAGCTCGGAGGGGCCTCTGTTTCCGTACGTCCACGCAATTGATCTGCTGACTGTGCCCACTGATCTCGCCGACACTGTTTCCCGAGTCGGCTGTAATACAGTGTCCAAACCGCTCCTTTCCGTCGCCCACTGCAATGATACGCTGACTGTCGCCATCCCAGGCAATGTCATTGATGCGGCCTGCAATAATGTGGTATTCTCCCTTTGTGGTCTCCGCTCCTACGCTGTCCCATACACGCACCGAGCCCGAGACATCTCCCGAGGCGATGTAAAAGCCCGACGGCGAGAAGCGAGCGACCGATGTCGTGGTGGTGTGGCCCGTATATTGTTTGGCGATTTCAGGGTGGTCAATGGATCGCACGAAGATGGATTTGTTGGAAGCATAGCAGATGCGCTCGCCCTTGCTGTCCGTGGATAAGGGTGTGGGCTGGCCACGAGTGGTGCTAGGCGAAGCGGCCCAGATGGCCTCGGGGGTGATTGACATTTTGCCCGCGAGGGTGTGAGAGTCGTTGCTCGACATGTGTTTGTGTTATAAGACGAGCGGGAAGGAAAGTGGTTGCCTCCGTTACAAGCCAGGTACCTATCGGAGCTATCTGTATAGCTCCACAAACCCCACCATTAGAACTGCATGTATCTTAATCAAGCATTTGAACGATGAATTGATGAGGTGAAGTGGAAATGGTCCTTGGCATCCCTCTTCTTCTACTCTGCTTCTCCCTCGCCATCAAAGCATACCAGTTCATCACCTATACTGAATGCAACGCTTCTTTGCAAAGCAACATCTCAGGCTGATCCAGCGAGCCTCTTGACCGAGATAGTGGCGCTCTCGCAGGTCACACAGCATCCATCGCTTGTCATGAATCAGGCGAGGCCGAGGCAGACGCATAACAACAATGGTCTTATTACTCCTTTCACTCTTACCTCCTAGATCAAATTCCTGGCAGCAGAGTGCAAAAGTGTTGCTACGCTCTCGACAACATGTCCCAGGAGTATGAAACCGACCACCGACAGCAGCATGACCTGGAAGTTATGAACAGAACAATCAATTTCGCGTTGCCTGTCGACTCAGCACTGCTATCACCCTAGGGGAGAGATAAGCAGAGAGGTAAGCCTGCCTCACATGGTGGTGCGCTGTGTATATCTACCGCTGCAAATACCGCGTGCGCAGATCTCTACCATCCTATCTTTCTTCTATAAGTCGTTGGCTGACAGCCGCTCTTTTCATGCACTCGGCCGGCAATGAGCATACTATATATGTTGTGGAACCCGTCCGTTGATATGTCACTCAAATGTCACTTTAGTCACAGCCCTAGACAAGATCCCGTAGCCCTCGGAAGCGATGCTAGTGGAGGTAGGTTTGTATACCTCCCGTCGAGATTGGACTCCTTATTTACATCCGGAATAGGTGAAGCTGAGGACTCGAGGGGACGATCACTGCTGAGAAGAAGAAGAACGCCACCGAGTTCCCTGTAAGCGAGACAGCTCTACTGCCAATCATAGGCTATGCTCACTCTCTCAACTCGACATGACGTCGCTCTTCTCCATCGTCCTCATGTCGCGACGACGTGATTTGACAATGCCATTTCGAACTACTGTATAACACGGCGGTGTACATTGCGTCGAGCGCTGTGGGACAAGGCAAGTTTTTCGTTCCTTTGGTGTTTTCTCTGCATAATTACCATACCTCCTACTGTACAGTAGAAGTACACATCTCACTGTTAGTACATGCCCTGCAGTCAACTCGCTTAGTTGTAGCAGCCACATTACTTGGACCTGTTCACATGCAGCCTGTCGCCACTCGATTCATCCCGCTTTCGGACGAGAAGATATCCGCCAAAAAGGATCCTGAAGCGCGGGTCGGCGTGCATGCTTCGACGTGACTGGACATCTCCAGCTCGGCAATCATCGTGCCAGCGCATACGAGAGGAACTCGACCACATTGGTGATACCTGCTATATATCTGGGCTTTCTGCTGGGCTCAGGTTGTGGCTAAGCTTCTCGTATTTGCACGTAGAATATAGTATCACACCATTCCGTTGTGCTCCACTCAAAATAGAACTAGAGTGGAACGGACTGCGGACGACGGGCCAGAGATGGACGCTCCGCCACGAAGAACTTCCATCTTTCAGGAACACTTTGACATTGAATTGACTGCTCTGGACGCTACCGAGGCGAACATACAATCACCACGACGTCGTGTGGGCAAACAAGACGACGTGTATGTCGAAAAGCAACACTCCTACAACAATGCCCTTCCGACAATAGGTGAAGTTCCTCGCCACCGCAGGAAGAAATCTCGTCTCGAGCACAGCCGGGCGACGCCCACGCCAACCCTCACTCCAGCACAAACGCAGTCCCCGCTGCCTGTACGCAATTCCTCGAATATGATGCGCCTGGGAGTCTTTGCTTTTCTGCTGGTCGCCCTGCTGCCTCTTCTACACAGCACCTCTTTCTTCGGCTACGCCTCGTTTCTACAACCGGTCCGTGGAAGCGTCATACCCCCGAGAAGGAATGATGCCCCGACTCTCGACCGACGAGCAGATAGTCCCACCGACGTCTGCTTTAGATGGGCCCAGCAATCCGCCGTGAATAACGGGACTCTATACCTCTATGGAGGGCAAGCGACCACTTCATCCACTCAGGACAGCAACGCTTGGAATAACAACTTTCTCTCACTGGACTTGACCAAGACTTGGCAAATCGCATCGCCTGCGTTGACTGGACTACCACAACCTTCCGGACCTCCCAACGTCAGTCTCGGATATCTGTGGAACTCCCGCAGTTCGTTATTCTTGTACGGAGGACAATACTCATGGAAGCCCGCGGTGTCGCCCACCGCCTATTCGACATGGGAGTATGCTATCGCAGACGACAAGTGGATCGAACATCGCCAGCCCGTCACTTCCAAGGGCACCAGTGCGCCCAGTGATGGAACCGCGGTGCAGCGAGCTGCAGAGGGAGCCGGTGTCAACGTGCCCTCGTTAGGCCGCGGCTTCTATTTCGGCGGGCATTTGGATGGCTACACGACCGAAGGATGGTCACAATCCGTGCCGCGACTGTATCTGCGATCACTCCTCGAGTTTACTTTTCCTGGCGTCACCAACGACCAGGTCGAATCACTGTCGAATAATGGCGTTGCGGGTTCCAATGGCGTATACCGCAATGTGACCGACGGAGGCCAGCAAGCCGATGTGGGCTTCACGCAACGTGCGGATGGACTACTGATTTACGTGCCTGGGTTTGGCGATCAAGGCATTCTCCTTGCCATTGCAGGCGGCACGAATGAGTCCTTCACGCAGATGAACCAACTCGACGTCTACGATATCGCGACCAGCTCATGGTACATCCAATCGACCTCAGGACCCACACCGGAGATTCGTGTCAATCCCTGCGCTGTAATTGCAGCAGCACCGGACGGGACATCATACAACATCTACATGTTTGGTGGACAAAATCTCATTCCTGCAGGGAATCAGACACAATTCAACGACATGTGGATCTTGACCCTTCCATCCTTCACCTGGATCCCGGTGGACATGGACGGACAAAGTGTACCATATGGCCGATCAGGACACACGTGTAATGTCTGGGATGCCCAAATGGTCATGGTCGGAGGCTACGTCGGAGCAGGCACATTAACCTGCGAAAGACCCGGAATCTACGTATTCGACCTGAGCGCTCTCGAATGGGTGAATCAATTCACCGCACTATCTAGTACAAATGTGGATAACAACGACAGCAATAACAAAAACACAGACACAAACACCAAAGCCAACGAAGACAACAACAGCGAATCCAATCCCCCCAACCCCTTTAACCAACAACCCGCCCAAATCTCCTCTTCTTCTTCCTCCTCCCCCGGCGGCGGTCTCGAAGGTTCCTACGGCTACAAAGTCCCCCAAGCCATCATCGCCATCATCGGCGGCGACTCAACCGGCAAAGCAACCCTAACCACACCCATCAACATCGCCACCGCCGGCCCTCTCGCCACAGGGAAACCCCTCACATACACCGCCGCCGACGCCGACGCAACCGCCACTCCTGATAGTGGCGATAACTCCAACGATACTTCCGACGGCAGCGGCGACAAATCCCCAAATCTAGCAGCCATAATCGCCGGCATCCTCGCGGCTCTCTTCTTCATTCTGGCTAGCTATCTCGCTTTTTGCGCATACGTCTATCGCAAACAATTACAATTGTATAAACGACATGTGGAATTAACTTCTGCGCAAGCGCAAGCGCAAGGAGGAGGAGAGAAATTCGTAACGACGACGAGTAGTAATGGTAATGGGAAATATCATCATCAGCATTCTTCTTCGAGCGCTGCTACAACGACCACGACGACGATGACGATAGGAGGAGGGGATTCGAGAGGGAGGGAAAGTTATGGGAGTGGGAGGGGGGTGGAAAGTGGATATACTAATCCTAATCAATATAATCCTAATCAATATAATACTAATACTAATAATAATAAAGCTCTTCGAGGAGGAGGTGGAGGTGGAGGTGGAGGTGGAGGGACATATTACAAATCCCTCAGAGATGGTGGAGATGAAGACAGAGATGGAGATGAAGAGGAGGAGGAAGATTTACTGAATAGTTATGAACCGAGTTTCGTCGGAGTGATTTTGAATCCGAGGAGGAGTTTGAGGGTGATTAATCGGGATTGAAAAACAAAAAAGAAATTGTGAACAGAGAGGGAGGAAAAGAGGCAGAAAGCAAAGAGCAGAGAGGAAAGAGGAAAGAGGGAAAAGGACAGAGGACAGGGACAGAGACAGGACCTGCTGAGAGGTGCATCATATGGAGGGTGAAAATGATATAGAGGCATATATGTACCTATAAGCCAAGTTCTATACATGTAATCCGACATACTATCTGTATCTGTACTTAGAACCTTACAACGACGTCCTATACAAGAAAAAAGAAACGAAAAAAACTCAGGCAAAGCGACAAAAGGGTAGCCGGACTTCCGGATTCAAGCAGCGAAAAAATGAGGTAACAGACGAGTCCCTTCCAGGTTCCAGGTCCCCAGAGGAACTGACCATCCTCGACTTGACTTGACTTGACTTGAACTGGAATCAAATACTGTATCGTTATCCGCCTCATAATCAGGCTCTCCTCGCTCTTCCCCATTCGCGATTTTTACACATTAGAATCTTTCATCTATGAACTCACTGATCGACTGTGGGCCGACCGAGGCGCAAATCCCGTTTTACTACTGCGCTTTTTCGTGGGCAGGAATCCACGTCATAGTATATATCAAGTCTTTCCTCCATACACCTGGCATATAGCTGGGGTATCTGGCGTCTCAGAGACATCCATCTGATTTTTTGCAATCAATGTACACCGGGCTTGGCGTGCATTCGTCCTTGCCTTGATTGGGACGTATATAGCAGCTTTGTAAATGCCGTTGCCGATGGTGTTGTACTGCTATGATGCACCAATACGGCCGCGTAGTAGCTCTTCTAGCAAATATGCACGACCCGGGAAGCCTCAAATGGAGGCGAGAAAGCAAGCTTCTTTTTCATCACATGTCCTGTATTAGCGCGCGAGGCCGGACCGTCTCAGAAGACGATACCAGATGGGCTCATGCCATTCCATGCGAATTGCTGCGGCGTAAAAGTCATACTGGGGTCGAATTGCGAAAATCCATCGTTGGACGTATCATCCATATTGTCCAGCATGCTACTCCCGGCAATGGAGTTGTTATTTTCCACGGCAAAGTCGCCCACTGCGCCCAGATCCAGCCAGCTAAACTGATTGATGGAGGGAGGAGCAGTGTCCAGGGGCATCGATTCGGTTCCGCCACGACCAGGAGGCACACCCGGACCCCCACTCTGCGCGCTGGTGGGCCCACTCATCTCGTTCGATTCCGCGATGCTGCCACGTCCCACCGGTGGTTTCCTCCAGAGTAAGCGCACCAGCCTCGAGTATCGGTCCCCCACATCATTCGGACACGCACTCGACTTTTGCAAGCAGTCCACCGTATCACTGATCAGTCGCTTCACGGAGCCTCTGGTATCTCCCGCCATGACTCCCGTCGATCGAGCTTTGTACAGGAAGACGGCAGAGTAGATGACATACAGATAGTAACGGAGCGGCATATATCGGAATGTATCTTGCGGGTCCACAAAACTGCAAAAGGTGCTCAGGAGCGCTTTTGCAGCATCGATCGCGTCGTAGATGAATCGGGCGTCCGGTGTGGCAGCGACATCGGCAAAAGGATATGCCATGGGGCGATTGGGCTGACCACTTTTGATGGCATCCTTCATCCTCTGCATCAGGCGATTCAGAGTGGCCTAGCTCGTGTCAGCACAAGAGGGAAAACAAAGCCAAAAAAAGAAAAAGAGGAAAACATCAATGGGAGGGGGGAAACAGACCTGATATGCAAAGGCATTCACGTAGAGTCGGAGATACTCATATGAGAGAATCAAGCTGGCTTTGAGCGGCGGTGAACATGTAAAGGTGCCCCAGGATTCATTCCAATGGCGCAGTGCCACGCGAAAGTCGTCAATGTATTTCACGTACTCGCCACCAAAGTTGAGCTGGTTGGAACGGCTCTTGGTGGCGTACAGCACGTCGTGTGCATTACTGAACAGCTGCGTCAGCTCCAAATTGGCCTGATAGATGGCTGCAAAGTCATCGTGACGATGCAGTCGGGGCTGCAAGCTGGGAAAGTCTTGGGCTCGTAGTGCAGTCAGTGGTCCGGGTCCACGCGACCAAAAGGCCTTGCCGATCCGGACAGATACTTGCCGATCGCTCATGTAGCAGCTCGACCAGGCGAGGCGCTTGCGATTCAAGTCGGCGGATTGTGCCTCGCTCTCCGCGCGAAAGCCGGTCCGGTCAATGCCGAGCAGGTACCCGAGTCGGATGGCGGTGCCGACATACATCCACGCGGCGCAGTCTTCCTCTCCACGTCCAATGGCAGGTGTCGTATGTGATCTTCGGGGCACCCATTCGGCCAGGATGAGCATCGCCTCCACTGCCTCCACGGAACCCGAGCCACTATATACCAGACTCGCCACGAGCGATTGCATATGGGTCGAACAATCTTCATGGACCTGCCACCAGTCCTTCTCGTCTTTGGAAGCAACAGTCAGAATGGCAGCAAGCAGATGAGGCTCTTTGGCCGCACTCGTGGGCAGATTACTCGGGTCCATGGCAGCGGGGTTGGCCAGTGGGAAGAAGGGATGGTACTTGTCCTCGTATCTAGGTCCGCCATTAGCAGGGTGTGACAGGCACGACTTTCACACATGGGCCTCGCACATACCGACAAAGAAGCGCCTGAATCATCTCCAAGCTGAGCTGACCTTTGGTCAGAGGCGGATAATTGATGACATGGCTCGAGGTCGACACCGGAGCGGAGCGTGCTCCATCATGGGGGTGGTTGTTCGGGCCCGCAATCTGGTCTCGCCCATACACACTGCTATGCATGGGGGGCAACTGGTTGCTCCCAGAGTCGCGCTCGGCGACGTGGGCTAAGAATTCAAGGGCGTCTGCCGGATTCTGCAAGTCGGTGGAGGCGACAGTGTCATCCACGGTCATCTTGGCAGCAGTCGGGGTGACACCGCCGTCGTGCGACAATGGCGGCAAGATCCTCGAGTCGGGATTGAGAGAGCTCCAGCTGGGAAGCCGGTGCTGCCGAAGACTTGGGTCCAGGACATGCTGCTGCTGCTGTTGCTGCTGTTGGTCGCTGCGCGGTGGTGGTGGTAGCGGTGTCCGTCTGCTGGCACTGTCTACACTACTGCTGCCGGGCGGTACTGACAAGGCGTGCAGTGCTGTTGATGATGATGAGGGAGCGGGAGTGGAATTGTTGGCGAGTTCAGAAGTGCTGCGTTTCACCCTTCGACCACCTCGTCGCGAGCCCCCGAGAATGCACTCATGTTGTTCCCGGATGCATCGCTCGCAGGGAGGGCGGCCAGGTTCTCCGCTACTATACCTGTGACATGAGGTCAGCTCTGCGATGTGATGTCTGTCGCCATGCATGTGGTCCATGTGTACGGTAGGTCAGGTCGGTAAGGTATGATTACTACTGCGGGGACGAGGTTCCGTCAAAGAGCGGGCGGCTGCATGCCCACCAGAGACCGCAATCCCAGGACAGGCAGAGCGCACCGAGCAGGATAGGCGATCGGTTGCTGACGGCATTCCTGCGCCCTGCCGAGTAGACGGACGGGCGGCATGTGAGGAATACGATGATGATGATGATGATGATGATGATGATAACAATGATGGGGGCCGGAGCGGAGGGGAGGGCGGAAAGGAGGGGAGGCGGAGGGCGGAGGGCGGAGAGAAAGAGAGGGTGCTCACAGATCACAGCGGGACTTGCGCTGGCGGCAGTGCAGACAGGCTCGGTATGTCCGCTTTTCGCGCTCCGACTTGGGTCCGTCCTTTTTGGTGGTGGTGGTTGTGTTGGCGGTGGTAGTAGTGGTGGGCTTCCCGGGACTGTCGTCGGAGCTGTCGTCGTCGTCGTGCTGCTGATGGTGTTGGTGGGGGTGGTGGTGGTGGTAGTCTGGTCCGCCACTGTGCTCCATTTTTCTTCCCAACTGCCCGTTCTACCTCCGGTATGAGAACCGACCCTGCTGTGGAGTCTGCGTGGCGGGGGGCGGGGCGGGGTGGAAAGCCAACTGACGGCAACGGGAATGAATGTCCACAATCGCGTCACGTCGCGTCGCGTGTCCCAGCAGGAATTAGTAAGTGAGTGGCAGTGTGCAGTGGTCTGTCGCCGACCAACAGCTGGAGCCTGACGGAGCACAGTCGGAGGAGGTTTGTTGGCGGATTTGGGCGGCTCAGAGAAGGCTTCAGATGGAGGAGGATGAGTGAGGATTTTTAGTTGGAAACTTCCCAAAATAGATCTATCGCCAACCTCAGGCCCGAGGGCTGGATCATTTGACGGGTATGATGGCGGTAGGAGGGAGTGGTAGGTGGTAGTAGTGGTTCAGACTTCCGTTTGATGGTTCCCGGCCTCGCAAGATGGGAAGTCTAATGGTTAGGTCGACGGTTCTACGAGGTATCATCAACTAGACATCTACTACCTCCTAGGACGGGAATCACCATGAGAGAGAGAGCCGCGCACAGTAGGATGGTAGCAGATCAGAGATACCTCCTAGCTAATAATCATCCCAGCATCATACACACGACCATCGCCTCACGATCTGGACTCTCGTCTGGAGAGTCAGAGGGCAAGGGTCCCTCAACTCTCGACTATCTCAGCGCGCCATCTGACTGGCCTCCCTCCCTCCTACGCACCTGCTGACCGATGTGGCCCGCGATTGTCGCATACATGTAGTGTGCATGTCTGCATGACTCGCACATCTCCCAAGACTCCCTCTTACCTCCTACACTACTTGGCCCTGCTGATGTGTAGCCACCATTTCCCAATGCTTCGACTTGTCCTGTTGTTCGCACCACCATCCTACCGCTGTGTGGCGTGGTGTGTCGAATGAGTAGTTCTGTAAGAGTGAAACACGATGGCCTTGGTTGCATAGGGTATGCAAATACCAAGAACAGTTCGCTGTTGCTTAGCTGCTCTCTCCCACCCAATCAGACCCTGTTTCCCGCCTGCGAGGTGACGGCGAGACTTTCGGTATCAAAAGTGATTAGATCGCAGGCATTTTCTTCGTCAAAAGTGGGCGGACTACTACTACTACTACTACTACTACTACTACTACTACTACTACTACTACTACTACTACTACCTCCTACTACACACCACCACACATCCCTTCTCCTACCTTACCTTACACTTACACTTCAATCTTCATGTTGTGCAGCAGAGCACCTTGAACGCTGCCGGAAATCTTGGCGACCCAGAATTTGGTCTCGTTCAGCAAGAACAACTCGCCTTTTCTGCCAAAGCAAAAGTTTGCCACTCCACCGCACACCTTGATCTTGCCAATGAGCTTTCCACCAGCATTCCAGACGTGGACGCCATCGCCGCATCCCGAATAGACGTTGCCTTGCAGATCGCACTTGATGCCATCGGGAACGCCTATATCACTGCTGTGAGCGGCCCGACTCGTCCTGTTGCCTGTGTGCACAATACTACTACTACTACTCACCTTCATCCGCCATGGCAAACACTCTTCTGTTGGCCACAAAGTGCGAGCCATGCCTCTCAATCACATCAAACGCATAACTGGGAATCGATGAGTTCCAGGTCCATGGATGCCCGGGATCGGCCACGTGGTACTCACATGTGTGAAGATCGAGTCAGATCCGTCGTTCCATCGCCGTGAATCCAATCTGTATCCGTCACATACAATGTCTGTTCATCGGGCGAAAAGCAAAGCCCATTTGGTCGGCCAAAGCCGTCGGCAACCACTCTGACTTCTCCAGAGGTGGGATCGAAGCGGTAGACCTGGCACGGCAATTGAGGCTCTGGACGAAAACCTTGTTCGAAGCCGTAGATCGGATCGGTGAACCAGAGGGAACCATCCGTATGCATCACGACATCATTGAGACTGCTAAATCGCCGCCAGTGATATGAGGAGAGCAGTGGTTTTGTCGCATATGGCGGGCGAGCTTCCATCAGCGTCAACTGTGAAGGAGCTTCCATGGTGCCTTGATCGCAGAAGAGCACGCCACCGTCATAATTGAGACCGCCATTGCCCATGGCGACATTGGTCGTGAGCTCTTCGTAATGCCATGTGCCGTTGCCAGAATCGTGTCTTGTCACTTTGCCGATCTTGATCGTCTTGCCGGAAGGTGTACCAGGTAGACAGTTGCTCGTGATGTAGATTGCATCCTGGTCCGGCAGGTAGACTCCCGCCTCGTGGGCAAACGGCCAGTCTTTCTCCACTGCAAGCTCGATGCTGGGACGGTCTCCCAGGATGTCCAAGAACTGCTCATCATAGACTGCGAAGTGAGCATCGTGGAACTCTCGCTGTGCACTGGCATCCGCAAGGAACGATTGCTCTTGTCGCGTGATGTACTAGGAGTAATAATGGGGTCAGGTCAATCATCGATTATGTATGTTGGGATGTGCATAATGATGGATGCTGCCATAGGCCAGACGGCATATAGACTCACTCGGCAGTTGTCTGGTAGACTCATTGTGCTTGATGTATTCTCCCGTTTCCCCTCTTGGTTGATCGTGTTCATGCTCGACGAGTGGGAGCGTCCATCTGAGGCAATTGGCAATGGGTGGCACAATCTCCGTCGTCCAGAAGTATATGTCGCTCGCCTGAGGTAGGTGGAGTGAGTGAATTGCCGAAGTTGCCGTCAAACACCGCACAGTGCACACGTCCCCAGTTCTCCCCAGTCTCTTCCAGCATTCTCTCCGCCTCAATTGCATTTTCTCCATGAAGTGACCGGTATCCCGTAGTCTTTTCCTTGCCAAACGCTCGATATCGTTTCACCGTACCCCATGGGTATCCGCGTGCTAACCCTGCTAGTGTCTTGAGACGCTGGCCCTGTGGACATCTCCCATCGTCGTATTAAACGCACACCACCGCCGCCACTTCGAACCGCTCCCGTCTGTTTGCCACTAGATCTTCTTCTTCTTCTTCTACCTCCTACGCCTCTCCCGCACCCACGGGATCTTGGCGGCTCGAGTGTGGTATTCAACAACATCAGCGACAACAGCAACAACCACACGATGGGTCAATGGCTTCGGCTCGAGGGCGGTGCCCTACTGTACACCGTGTCCCTCCTCACCTGTCTCAGTTTCCTGCTCATCGGATATGGTATGCGAGTGCATCGTCTCCGCATATGCTGATATCATGCTGATACGCAGCAGACAATGGCCTCATGGGCGGTCTGGTCAATACTCCCTCCTTTGACAATACCTTTGGAATCAATACCAAGACCAACTACGGCACCAACATGATCGCGCTCATTGTGGCCATTTACGAAATTGGATGCTTCTTCGGCGCCATTTTTACCAGTTTCGTGGGAGAGTCTCTGGGTCGGAGAAGATCCATCTTTCTGGGCGTCTGCGTCATGATTCTGGGAGCACTCCTGCAAGCGACCGCATACACCAAAGCGCACATGATTATTGCCCGCATCGTGTCCGGTCTGGGCATGGGAGCCATCAACTCAACGGCGCCCGTCATGATGGCAGAATTTGCCCCCAAGGCCACGCGAGGCATCTACGTCTGCGCGCAACTCTCGTGTCTCAACTTTGGCATCATGATGGTCTACTGGATCGACTACGGCTTTAGCAAAATTTCCAGCGGACCCAGCTATGCATGGAGAGTCCCCGTGATTCTGCAATGCATCTTTCTCATTCCCATGCTATTCATCATCATGCTGATACCCGATACCCCACGCTGGTTAATCGCGCACCACCGCGGCGAAGAAGGCCTCGACGTCCTCCGCCGAGTCAACAAGGGCAAGATGAGCGAAGCCGCCGTGCTCCGCATGCACAGCGACATCACCAACACAGTCGCCTACGAAGCCTCCATCGGAGCGGGCACATGGTCGGACCTCCTCAAAGACGACGATATCCAATCTCGTCGCCGATTCCTCATCGCCTGCGGCATTCAAATTTTCCAACAACTCGGCGGCATCAACGCTCTTATTTACTACTCCAGCACCCTCTTCCAAGACTCCCTCAACTTCAGCAGTGAACTCTCCGCTCTCATGTCGGGAATCCTCAACACCTGGTTCTTCCTCGCCTCTTTCATCCCCTGGTTCCTCATCGACCGCGTCGGTCGCCGTCCACTCTTCCTCAGCATGATCTCTCTCATGGCAGCCGTCATGGTCGTCCAAACCGGTCTCATCTGGAACGTCGAGAAGCAAACCGCCATCGCCACTGCCTGCGGAGCCGGTGCCGCAGCCATGTTATTTGTGTTCCAAGGCGCTTTCACAATTGGTTTCCAAGCAACAGTATGGGTCTACCCCAGCGAAATTCTCCCTCTCAAACTCCGTCAACGCGGCTCTGCAATTTCCACCGCGAGTAATTGGATTTGCAATTTTATCATCGTCTACATTACCCCGCCTGCGATTCGAAATATTGGATATCGTACTTATATCATTTTTGCCGTTTTGAACGCATTATGGGTGCCTATTATCTATCTTTTCGTAAGTTCTTACCAAACCCACCCACCAATTCCATCTTTTGTTTTTCAAAACTGACTTGTTTTACAACAGTTCCCCGAAACCAAAGGTCTCGCACTCGAAGACGTCGATCGCCTCTTCGCCAAAAACGACGAAGCACATCGACAAATGAGCGCTATTGTACACGAGGTCAAAGGTGGAGAGGAAGCTGCGCACCACGAAGGAGAAGAAGAAGAAGAAGATGTAGAGCGAATTGGGGATGTAGCGGGGAGAAAATCATGAGATATTGAATAATCGATTTAATTACTCTCATGCTGGGTGGTAGTGGTGATCTCTACTTACTTACTAGGTAAGGTAGCGGGGTTGGTTGGGTAGGATCTTGTGTGTGTATGTGTGTGTGTATATATACCTACTTATCTTGACTGAACAAAATGAAACAATGAACAAAACGAAAAAGTCTTCGGGCTTGTGTATGTGTATGTATGGATTGTCGTGATAGTTTTTGGATCAAATAGGTCGTTACCTGAGTACCTTGGGTAATACTCTTCTTCCTCCCTTCGTACTCTCTTCTATCTCTCCCCTCCTATCGTATCTCCGTATCGTCTCTAGGTACTCAACTAAGGTACATTCCCTCCCTCTCCTTAAGAGAAATTTCGTCTCTCTCTCTCCTAGAATTCTTCTTTGCTACTTTCCTTGAAATCAATCGTCCTCTCTCTCTTGAGAGTCTCGCGGTTTTCTTTCGTCTCCTCTCTCTCTCTCATTCTCTTCGCTTTCCTCGTCTCCTCTCTCTCCTTTTCTTCGGCTAACCTCGTCTCCTGAGCTCCTCTCTCTCCTTTTCTTTAACTACCCTCCTCTTCCCTCTCCTAGCCCCTCGACTAACCTCCTCTACTAAAGTAGTCTCCTAACTCAGATTGTCCTCCTACTTCTTGCTTTTTTTTTCTCCTTATACAAATTCGTCCGTATCGGAGTTAGAATGGGACAAAGAACTAGTAGCGGAACCAAACATCCTAACTAGGGCGTCCTGATGCTATTTACCGGTAACTTTCTCGATTCTAGTCTCGTAAAAGAAAAGAGAAGAAAAAGAAAAACAGCCTCCGAATAGACACAATTGGTACAAGTCCAGTCCAGTCTAGCAAAAGAAAAAGAAAAGAAAACCAGTCCCTAACAGATATACACAGTTGGTGCAGGCTCAACATCAGCTTCTTTCTTCTTTTCTCCTTTTCTCCTTGTTCTCCTTTTTATTTTCTCCTATTCGCCTTCCCCCTCGTACAAGCTCTCCAAATCAGATTTTCGAGAGCAGGACAGCGAAGCTAGGAGGAGTAATCGATTTGAGTAGCGACACCAAACACCCCAACAGAGCATTCTTGCTGTATACTAAGTACACAAGGTCCTAGGTTATTCCATACGCTAGAAGAAAACAACCACTTTCCTCGCGGCGTAGCATCCATGTGACAGCGCGCTTCTTGGACTTTCCGCTGCCTTTTGTTGTATAATGTTTGCTTGTTTGTTGTTATTGTTATTGCTGTAATAATATACGCTGCTTGGTGATGTAAACGGAGAAATTCACGCGGCTGTAGTACCAGAAAGAAAGGTTGCTGTTGTTTGCATCTTCTTCCTTTGTATGATTTGTATCGTTGGTGGTTGATTGAGTATAGAGAAAAGAGAGAAAAGAGAGAAATCGAAAGATCGTGTCGTTGTTCTAGAAGCTTGCGATTGCTTTTAGAAGAAGAACCAGAAGAGCTAGAAAACCCAGAAAAACCACCTCCTAGGACCAGAAGAACCAGGACCAGAAGAACCAGAAAAGAAGAACCAGGATTAGAAGAACCAAAAAAAGAAAAACCAGCAAAACCACTACCATCGAAGCCACCAACCAGCAAAACCAGCACCAGAAAAAATTAAGAAAGAACCAGAAAAGCCAGAAGAGCCAGAAAAACTATGGCCAGAAAAGCGATACGTCGGCTTCTGTCGTACACCTATGTCCGGTGCTGTTCCAGTCACACGATACATTGTCTTGAAAGTAGGTATAAAACAGAGGAAATTGAGCGAGTTGCAGTTCATCTTTCGTATAATTCGCATCGTTGGTGATTGATTGAGTATAAAAAAGAGAAAAGAGAAGAAAACATAAGTAGGATCGCATGTACACAGCTTGCGATTTCCTTCTAGAAGAGGAACCAGAAGAGCCAGAAAAGAAATACGGCAGTCCTGTTGCAATAGTGTTTGTTGAGATGGCTGTAATACTATACGCTGCTTGGTGGTGTAGATAGAGAATATTCAGGCTCTTGGTGTATAGACTTGAATGTTTCTAGGTAGGTATACCTGGACTTGAACGTAGGTATAGTTAGTATTCTGCTGCTGTGGTATATTTTTTGTTTTTGGAGGTAGGTATACGAAGGTAGGATTGGGGTTTGTTGGGCTGATAGGAGTGGAGGGGATGGGATGAGATGGGATGGGAGGAGGTCTGGGTGGCATTTTATGGGTTGGAGGTTCGGTGTTAGGGGTGTGATGATGTTTGTGGTTGTGTTTGTATTTGCGTAGAGAAGGGGGGAATAGAGGAAGGGAAGGGAAGGGAAGGAAAGGGGAGAAAAGAGAATAGGAGAGGGGAGGAGGGAAGAGGAGGGAAGAGGAGGGAAGAGGAGGGCAGAGAAGGGCAGACGAGAGAACAGAGAGAGAAGAACAGAAAGGAGAGACTTCACGTATGTGTAAGAAAGGGTGTCTAAGAAAGACTCCTGAGAAAACCCGAAAAAAGAATCTCACCTCACACCATAAAACCTCTCCACATGTCCGAGAACGTGCGACATTCTGTTACATTTCGGATAGATACTATGGCATACAAACATTTCATTACTACAACATCATCAACAACAACAACTACAACATCAATATCTCGCTTTTTTTCCTTTTCCACTTCCCACCGACGAGTTATTCATTCATCCATTCAGTTAGTCGGTCCTTCAGTGAGGTAGGCTACAGATCTCTCCCCACTGACCAATTACTGTACCACCAGCCAGTCCTTTACAATCTCGAAAGACCGACTATAGTAGAAGGCATTAGCACCGCACCAACCAAAGAACGGAATGCAATGAAAAGAAAAAGGGGGGTCAAACTCACCAATCTCCCGGTTCACCTGATAATCCGGAACTCGCATATCCAACGCACGTCCACTATATCCGAGATCCTCGGCAGTCAAGACAGCGCACTTCTCACCAATCAAGAGCGCAGTCGAGTACGTGTTGCAGCCGACATTGTCGGGACAGATGGACAAATCGGCGACCTTGAGGTTCGTGGTGCCGTGCACGTTCAGGCGTTCGTCGACGACACCGTGTTTGATGATTGAGTTGCCTTCGCGAGGGCCCATGGAGCAGGTTCCTGTTTTTGAGAAGGGGTCTTGGTTAGTGGATGCGGAGGTGAGGAAGGGGAAGTATATATGTGTATGCTTACCAAGGGAGTGCCAAGTAGTCTCGGTGTGGCGCTTGACCCATTCTTCCACAGCGAGGAGATCCTCTCTGCTGTATTGCAAATCATCATGTACAACCTGTTGGTTCGAGTTGAGGTACGCCGCATCAGGTTTCTTGGACGGCTCTGGCAACGGGATCGTCCACGATCCCGTGACAAGACCGGCGGTGAGATGGTTGGGGCCTGCATACGCCTTGGTGGTGGCGAGGTCCATGTCGTGGCAGCGTGCGGGGGAGTCGTATGCGTAGAAGGGGTGGTTGGTGGCCACTTCACCGGCATACGCATCCATGCGTCGAGCAGTCTCACGGGATTTGATGTAGCCCCAGACCATGGGAGCCATGTCTCGACGGTCGTTCATGAAACCAGCATCGAAGTCAGGGGCCTCGTAGGGGTTAGGGCTGACGATGTTGGTGAATCCACGAGAGAATGGATACTCCAGGAAGTGGAACATGGAGAAGAACTTGCCAGTTCCGGGAACAGTAGTGTGGTCACCGAACCAACCAGCAACGACAGCCCAATGCATGACGGGCTTGTCGGGCTTGTTCTTGAAGTAGCTGTCCCAGCCCTTGATGAACTCCGGGAAGGGCGATCGGGCCATGTCATCCAAATCCTTCTGGTTCGGTCGCCACTTGACTCCAGCTTCGATTCCATTCGTTGCCAAAGGACCAGTGCCGTCCAGCTGCCATTGATTGAAGACCTTTTCTTGGACCTTTTCATCGCCACGGGCAAAATCATCAAACGACTCCGTCTCAGGCTTGGCGCGGTACAGAGAGAAGTAAAGGTAGTGGTCCTGGAAGTTCTGACCGACACCGGGCAGGTCGACGATGGGTCTCACGCCGGCCTTGCGAAGCTTCTGGCTGTCACCAACACCAGAGCGCTGCAGGACAAGAGGAGAGCTGAGCGTGCCACTGCTGACAATGATCTGTCTGCGGGCTCGGAACGTCCTCGAGTGGTTCTCCGATGGAGACAATGGCTTCGTGGGTACGGTGCGGACGCCGACGGCCTTGGTGCCTTCGAAGATGACCTTGTCGACCTTGGTGTTGACGGCGAGGTGGAGGTTCTCGTAGTGTTGACGGGTGCTGTGGATGTATGCATGAGCAGAGTCCGAGCGACGGCCAGTGTCGCGGTTGATCCACTTCAGCCAGTGCTCGGCGCCATGTCCGGTGACGAGATCCTGAAGGTCATCGGTGACGGGGATACCCTGACTTTCGGCCGCGCGCAGGAAGTCCTGCATAATGGGGTCTGTAACCCTGTCTGTTAGTAGGTTGTTTCATCTGAAGAGTTTCACCACTGCTTACATGTGTAGTTTCCAAAGGAAACCTTGATAGGTCCATCGAAGCCGTGCAGGTCCCGGTTGTTGCAGGCTCGCTGATACGTCTCGTGCTTCTTCATCAAAGGAATGAGTTCCTTGGTAGTCCAACCCTTGGCTTGAAAGTCATCGTAGTCGGAAGCCGATGCACGAGTGTACATCTTTAGATCCCCCTGTCAGCTGGCTGATTCATCAGAGGAGCTCCCACGCAGCTTACCATGAAGTTGATGGAAGAACCACCACCAAGAATGTGAGCCGCGGGAACGATGGCACGACGACCCGACAGCCACTCGGACGGACGCGAGTAGTAGAAGGATGCAGTCTTGCTGTCCAACTTCATGTTACGTGGGAAGATACCAGGACGGAACACCCATGGGTTGTTGAGGTTGCTCTCGCCAGCCTCAATGAGCAACACCTGGAGCTTGTGGTCCAAATTGGCCAAACGGCCAGCAACGACGCAACTCGAGTGAAGTCAGCGAACGTGGTCAATGTGCTTGTATATCGAAACACCCACCCGCATGATCCTCCTCCGCACACGATGATATCGACTTCCTCTGGGATCGTCATCTTGACTGCTTCTCTTTCACTTGGACTTTTGAGTTGCTTGGTAGTAATAGTAGTAGATGTTTTGAAATGGTGATGGTGGTGGTGGTGGTGGGGAGATCGAGGAGTAAGATCCTGATGCTCGACGCTCGAGGGTGGTACATGGCAGGAGTTCTATATCAACACCACTTCCACTACTCCCCCGCACATGTGAGGAGCTTTCGGGAAACAGGAGCTTTCCAATCCCTCTAGCATGGAGCAAGGGTATGATGTTTAGATGAGTGGGAACCCTCGAGCTTCCTGCTTCGAGCAACAAGACAGCTCACGCCACGCCGGGTGAACAATTATGCCCTCTCACACAAGACATGAAAGCTCCATGAACCAGATAGTCTTGTATGCGATTGAGCGTCGCTGGCAGTTCTGGTAACGATGGCATCCAGTAAACTTGCATTTGGAAGTCGAGCTCGCGAACCCGTCCCCCACAATGCCACTCTGTGGTCGTGATGTGACCGAATGGCGTGTATGTCCACCACATGCTATGGCGCCAGCAGGCCCCCCCGGGTTCTGCTACAGCTGTATTGGTGAGGATGATTGACCACAACCTCCTCCCCCATACAGATGCAGGTGCACAAGCCACTCAGCACGACGCACGCATGCGGAGAACCCAGCAGGCCCAGCATATTGGCATGCTCTAGACACCAGAAAATAGTGCAAACGTGTGCGAGGACATCGCTTCCGGGCTAGGTTCAGTCCCGCCCGGCTGTATACAGTGCAATGCTTGCCATCCCTTCCTCCTCTGCAATAATGCTTAGGGGCCTCGCCTACTGGAAGAATGCGCCCCCCTCTTTACAGGTCACTCCGAAGATGTATAACAGTAGTTCTCACAGGATTTCCCCTCACGAGCCCAACCCAGACCGTGAATAGCTTCCCACGAGACCTGCCTGGTTGTATACCATTCCCACCGTTGCAAGACCTGAAGTCCAAGAGGGAGTCCGGCGGAGCCATATCCCACGGGCTGTGGCTGCGGAAGTGGGTGAGGCGGCAGACGACGGCAACTCTGTCCTGATTGATTGATTGATTGATTGACCGATCGCCCGCTCCACCTGCACATGATTCGAGGTCACCACGGCGTCTGCTTCGTCTCTGGGTACATACTGTAACTGTGCAGTGGATGATGACCAACCGGCGTCCTGCGGGGTCCCAAAAGTCTGAGCTCCAGCAAGTACGAACTTTCTCCACACCAGCACCGCTTGCCGCGATGCTTTTGCGGGGAACCTGGTCTGCCGTCTTCCGAAAAGGATAAGTGTCTCCTCCATAGTCATGCTGACTGTGCACATACCTAATACACGTTGGTCTCTCAGACAACAACAAGAACGAGCATATATTCACGAGTACGAGAAGTTAAAAAGGCGGATATAAATGCCCTGAAGCTTTATTCACAGAAAGCTGGATAAAGGAGACTTCCCCTTCCCCCCCCACTTTCGTGGGCCACCCCTAGACACATACCGTGCCTGTTCCGTTCAGCAGCTGGAGGGAAAGATTTAACGTCCAGAAGAACCAGGTCCGCACGTCAGAGACGCCAAATCGGACGACGTGGAAGGACCCATGCATGGCCCTGTACTTGTACCTGTACCTGGAACATTGGTAACGTTTGACGTGCGGTCATACCACTCGTATGATGCGGCGCAGCAAAGTGGACAGAGAAATCGTGCCCCATTGATTGGACTCATCTCATCCGAATCCATGCATGCAGGAAAGGCTCCCCCAAGTGAGATGCGTCTTCCTGATTCATCACCAGAGTGCTTTCTTCCTATCCGCATCCGAAAGAAGGTCTGGGCAACAGGTGGGTTGCTGTTCTTGTGTATGTTGGAAGATGCTGCAAAGAAGAATCCGGCGATAGGTTTCCAGAAATGGGCCTTGGACTGCTTCTATCCCCATCGATCCAGTCAGAAGCTTTTTGCTCCCCAACGTACGTCCGTTCGACTTTCCCAACGGAAAGAACGCATCTCGCGCGACACGCATACATGCCTCTTTGACCGCCTCTCGAGTACCCGGGGGAGAGGGGGCTGAATTGGTCACTTTTCTTGTGATTGGAGAGCTATATATGTGTATATACAGTAGGTACCTATGGGTAAGATAAGGTGGGGTATCCATTCTGACTAATCTACAATTCATGAGATGCCGGGAGTAGTAAGTAGTGTTGCAGTCTTATACATCGCAGGGCCGGGGAAAAGCCATGCATACAATGAGTAGTGCGGTACGTGGTGGTTCTGTTGCTCGTCTCTGGATCGTACACCAGCCCAGGCATTCTTCGATGTCACAATCAAATCTCATCGTACACCTCGTAGATCGTTTCTCCTGCATCCAGATCGTCTTGGTCAACATCCTCGTCCATTTTGATGAATTTGTGACGACTTCCAGGAACCGCCGGGGAAATTGTCGGAACATCTGGCATGCCTTCCCATTCTTCCTCTACATCATCGCCCTCGATCGAGGCATCATCATCGCCATCATCGTGGTCATCGCCACGAGAGTCATTGTGAGAGCGTGGAGTGGGCATGGCAAATGGTGTGGTGCCTCTTCCGCGACTGCTAGCAGCTTGACTGCTCCGCAGGTGATGGCCCTCAACCGATACTTGAGGTGGACTCCATCGCGGGGTGATTCCGAAGCCACGTCGTTCCCATTCGGGAGATGTTGAGATCCGGCGTCTTTTGCTGGAACTTTCCGTGGAAGGATGTATGTCTCCAGAGCCATCAATGTCAAAGGATGTGACTCTTCTCTTGGGGAGACTGTCAACTTCCATTACGTGCGCCGAGGGCGAGGTAGGCAAGGATACCGAGCAGCGTTCAAATTGTTTGCGGGCGACTGGTGATCCCACGTCCACATCTTGTTCGACATCAAGATCATGGAAATCCTTGAACACAGACTCGTTCCAGGGTGAGTCTCCCGAGGCATACGATGACTGCGGACTTGTGACGTGGTCTAGTCGAGGTGTGAAGGACCAGCAAGCATCGATAACTTTGCCGAGAGCTTCAGCAGCCTGGAGCGCGCCGTCGCCATCGTACAGAGGCAAGTTCCGTAGGCCCTGCCAGCTCCAGCTGGATCTGGATGGCTGCAAGTATCCATCCGGAGTGGTCAGATACAGTCTTCTCTCGCCATTCGACTTCATGAAGACACTGGAGTCGAGAAAGCCGGCCGACCATGTTGCGGGCGTAACCATTTCGGCTTGACTGAGAAATCGTAGTCGAGACGACTTGCGTACCTTTCGAAGAGGTATGTACCTTTCGTTGAGCCCATTGTACCTGGCCTCCAGCTCTGGAATCGTTCCTCCTTCAATGGAGAGAATATTCCCAAATGCCGATGAGATAGCACTGAAGATGTGGCCCGCATCTGGTGCCTGAAGCTCGACTTCGCGAACCAGGCCACGACTGGCAAGCCGCTGAAAGACGGTACCGCTGGGCCCACATGCCTTGGGAGACAACCACTCGTCTTGTGTCTCTCTCGCCCACGCTTCGATCGACTCTGTAGTCCAAGCGCCACTCGTGGCTGCAGATTTGAAGGAAAGCAGTCTGGTGGCATCTTGTGTGGCAGACCATTCTTGCGAAGGCACCTGAGACCCAGAACGAAGCGAATGCTGCGTGGACTCTGCCGATGAGAACCACACGCCGGGAAGCTGTCGGCCGAAGGGGAGCAGGACAACTTGAATCGTCCACGGTCTGGCAAAAGATGGCAGAGCGGTATTTTCAAGCTCCGAGATACGCGTTTCGAGTGCATCGATGCGTGGGCCGGTCTCAGCATTAGCAGCAAGCGTGGCGAGAACGATAGCTTCCGTTTGCTGAGCAGCACCGAGGTCAAAGGATCCATCCGATTCGAAACTTCCAGCGCTCGTCAAAAGTGATCTCTTCTTGTTACCAGATGCTTGCGGTACCGACGACAAGACGTCACCCTCAGCTTCGTCGCGATCCCGCCAGCTTTCCAGTTCCGCAAGGCGCTCTTCAAAAGATGCAAGGTTTTGTCGCCCGTCGCCTGCTTCTTGAGCCTTGACTTGCTCAGCTCGCCAGTGTTCGAGGTCTAGCAGGCGTCCATCATGCATTTCAAACCTCTGGCGCACCTCATTGCTCGGAATGTTATCGAAGGACATGCTCTCGAGTTGGCTGATGCGATGGCCAAAGTTTTGTATCGTGTTGCACATTTCCTGTATCGAAAGGGATGGCCCGGCACTTACAGGTCGAGCAGAAGGTCGCTGTGGTTGAGAGAAGTCTGAGGAGGGCCCTCGACCGATCTGTCGTGTCATCGTAGTCTGCGCAGCATTACGGGGTGATGGGCGTGTAAAGACAGGCGTACCACGCACACTTGGTGTAGCAACCTCTGTATCGACCTCTGTTGCACTGTACGGTCCAGCTGCATGTAGGCTCGCCATCATTTCAGCGTGAGGTATAGTGACTGGAGGTCTCATTGGTCGAAACCGACTGATGCTTTCCTGAAGCTCTCGATGTGGACTTTCTCTTGGTTGCTCCTCGGCGACACTGGGCGAGGCAGTAGATGGGAGCGGAGCAGTGGACGCTAGTCTTGATAGCTCTCCGTACTGCACGCCGTCGACTTGCTGGCGAGCGAAGCCGTTCAACGCATCCCATAATCTGGTGTTGATGGAATGCGGCTGCGATGTACTCCCAATGCCCAGACCAGTCGTAGGCCTCGCTATTGCTGATGCTGCTGCTGCTGTCGCCGTTGCTGCAGGCATAGCTTGCTCCGTCCTAGCACTAGCAGAATCACGTATCAACTCGCTCCAAGTCGGAGGCACGAAGCCAGCCAGCGAAGCGCTTTACATTTCGCAAAGGCAAACGTTTCCGCGAATGGGCTGGTTTTGGTGTCGTGACCGATTCGAAGCCTAACGACGACATCGTCGACATTCTGGGTTTCTTGACATATGAGATTGTCACGTTGCTGACCGAGGAGGCGTTGAAGGTGAAAGCTGCAGAGGATGCATTGAAGAGGGAAAGTGGAGGCGATGAGGAGAAGAGAGGCAGAAAGAGGAGACGAGAACCCGGATTGTTCGACCCTCCGGAAGAGGCGAGGACTCCTGTTGGTACTAAGCATATCCAAGAGGCGTTTAGGAGGCTCCAGAGGCCTGATGTCAAAGCCAAGTATATGGGCCATGTTGCCAAGGGGAATTGGCAGAGGGGGTTGAAGTTGATTTGAGGCGGTTTGTCGGTTTACATTATTGGTGTCAAGATGGGATGTCATTGATGACACTGCCAATCACGATTGGATGCCTCGTTCAAGAGTAGCTACTGTTGAGTATTGTGTTTTTGAGCGTAGGTGTTGGTGGCAAGGATAACTATGTACGGGCATCTAAGGTAATCTGGTGTTCTACGTGTTGCACTCCAAGGCGTGGGCGTTGCTCTCTAGGTATCAATGGTATACATTCTGGCTGCTTGAATGGAACTAGCTCAATTTGGTGGGCAGGCAGGCAGCAGTCAGCCGTAGTAATGCTGACTCTCAACACGCTGGGTTGGTTACCGAGGACAGATGTTGTCTCACGTGCCGCAAAGTAGGTGGGACTCGATACCGTATCGCGGCAACCAGAATCCCTGCTTGGCGGCCAGATACTGTAGATTGCCCGTACTACCTTACTTGACCGTATACCGGATCCTGTATCCTGCGCACACGACCCGGCCTGTTTGACACAACCACAACTCCCCACGACCCACACCGCCAGGCATCCGTTGATGGTCCGTCTGGTATCATATATAGCTCTCTGTTTCACGATACGACATAGATAGCGGAACGACAGAAAAGCCTCCTCGCGATCCGAAGCGTCCGCCAAATACCACGAAACGACAGAATCTCTCCTCGAATCCCTCTCCCTCTCCCTCTCCCTTCACCTGGTAATGGCATGTTGAGAGACCACGGCCGCTGGTGGCTCGCCTTATGGCGGCCTCTCACGGGCAGTCCATCAGTCGAGCTTCTGTAGGCAGAGGCAATGGACTGGAGCTCGTGCTCCCCACTGGAGCGTGTGCCTTCAAAGATCTGAATGGCGGAGTGCATGCGCCGACGTGTGGCTGTAGGCACTTCTGGTTGAGAGAAACGATTGTGGGAGGCGATCAGCAAAGTGAAAGAGCCTGGTGTTTTTGTGGTCATCATGCGTGCTTTCATGATAATGTGCTCGTTCGACACCCGTCGCAGCAGCAGCAGCAGGGGACGCTTGGCGACATTCGGAGAAATGGAGATATTCTTCGGCGTTCATGCCTTTGGTTCGCTCGTCGGCTTGCTTCAATCGCATCAAAGTGGCAGCGTTCATTTCCTCTTCCTCTTCATCTTCTTCGTCTTCCCTTTCCGGTACAGGTTCCGAGTAGAAACTACTGACGTCCCAAGGCAAGCCGACTTTGGCCTTTTTATTCTTGTTTGTTCGAGTGGCAACACTGGGTCCTCCCACGGGGTCATTGGCAGTAGCTGCGAGATCAAAGTCGTCTGCGCCTGCGCCACCGGCATCGCCGCCCTTGTCGTCACTTTCTTTGGCGCTTTTTCGGACATCTTTCCAACTCAGAAAGGTGCGGAGACGAGAGACTTTGGCTTTGTCGTGACGGATCAGAAAGATGAGGTCGTCCGTGGAGATTGTACGAACACCTCGACGGCCGGCTAGCTCAGTAGCGCGCTTCAGCATCTCCATGACCTGTTGTTGCACGATGGATTCAATCATGGATGTTGTTTCCTGGGAGATGTCTCCCGTTTCGCCGGAGACAAACATCATCTACACACGTCGAGGACCATATTAGAGACCGTCTACCATAGGTGACTCTGAGAGGCATCGGGACGGGGGGAACATGAGGTGTGTACACACCTGCTGAATCTCCGTGCGGTACTTTGCTTTGGTGTCGGCCATGTTTGCGAGTGATTTGTGGGCTTATCCTGTGTAGTGTTCTATGTATATTGGTGCCGTGCTGTGCCGTATCCTCTGCGGCAAGGAGAGGGCGGTAATGGTCATCCGATGTAAGAATGTGGAAGCAGGAGGTGGTATTGTCACGGTCACGCTAAGGTACAGTAGTCGATTGGCGCGTGCCTTGGCAGGTCATAGGGCTGAAGAAGACGGGAGCGGAGCCGAGACCGGATGCTGTCAGAATCGATTTCTTCCATTTTCTCCAGGTCTTGTATACTGACTGACTCTCTTCTGGCTACTTGTAGTACATATCTACCTATAGGTAAACTCGCAGTAGACATGCTGTACATTATCGGGCTGGGACTCGCCGACGAGCGCGATATCAGCGCACGAGGCCTCGAAATCGTGCGCCGCGCCGAACGCGTGTACCTCGAAGCATACACCGCAGTCCTCCTCGTCGACAAGGAGCAGCTCGTATGAAGCAGCAACCTCTACCGCATACCCGCCACGACACACGCTGATCGGCGTGACGACTGTAGGAAGCTTACTATGGCCGCTCCATCATCGTCGCCGACCGCGAAATGGTCGAGTCGCAGTCCGACGCCATCCTCGACGGCGCCGCCGAGAAGGACGTGGCCTTTCTCGTCGTCGGTGACCCCTTCAGTGCCACCACACACACCGACTTCGCTCTGCGCTGTCGACAGAACGACCCGCCCATCCCGTACAGGACGCTGCCGAACGCCAGCATCCTGACAGCCGTGGGCGCAACGGGACTGAGTCTGTACAACTTTGGCCAGACCGTCTCTATGGTCTTCTTCACCGACACCTGGAAACCGGACAGCTTCTACGATCGTGTTGCTGAAAACTCCGCTCTCGGACTTCACACACTCGTGCTGTTGGACATTAAGGTCAAAGAGCCCAATCTGGAGGCGCTGGCGAGAGGAAAGACTGTCTACGAGCCCCCGCGCTTTATGACGGTAGCGCAGTGCGCGGAGCAGATGCTCGAGGTGGAGGAGAAGCGGAATCAAAACGTGTGTGGTAAGGAGAAGTTGGCGGTGGGCGTGGCACGCTTGGGTAGCGAAGGAGAGCAGATCGTCGCAGGTACGCTGGAGGAGCTGGCGCAAGCAGATCTGGGGAGGCCCCTACACAGTCTAGTATTGTGTGGGTCGAGAATGCACGAGATGGAATGGGAGTATATGCGCGACTTCGCTGTCGACAAGGAGAAGTTTGACGCAATCTGGAAGAGGGACTACGCCGCTCATGCGTAACACAGCATACCGATACCAATATCAACCTGCTTTGAGCAGATGGGTTTCGCGATCCGCTGCGGTGCTGGTGTGCTGGATGTGTGTGTTTGACAGAAATGAACAGTACTCTCGACGGGCACCCCTCCGCAACACGTCGAACACGAGTACCCTTCCATACGCAACCCAATTTCAGGTGACAGATCCGAAGTGCAGGGATCATCCTCTGCCCGGTTGAACGCTTTTTTAAATATACCTCAGAGTAGACCCTGTCGACCGAAGCATCCACACATGGATATGCAAGCACGCACTCGTAACCCAACCAGGGAAGCAGTTGGTATGGACTGCCGACACACTCGAATAGGCCGATGGACCCCATGTCCAACATCAGCACTATACCAGGGTCGCGCGCCCGGGAGATTAGGGGAATAACATCGCCCCATCCTCGCCTTCTGAACCCGTCTTCCACCGTTTCGCACCTCGACTGAGCACATGCCTGCCGAACAATCTGAACTACGCCGTACGGAGAATGGCGTCGATATGCTTGAATTATGGTAAGCTCCTATTTGGTAACCTCGCATCCACCACTCACACCAGATCGCGCCACGCAGTCCGCAGTATGCTCCCTCTCCCACGCCACGATCTATCATGATGGAGAAGCTTGCGACCATGGTGGCCTCTTCACGCGGCTTCCCGCTTCCACTGAGCAGATGGGCCACCCTGTGCGTGGCTGCAGCATTTGCCATCTTCATCCTCTGCGGGACATGGTACTCGCGAAGTAGCACATCACTCGACACATACACCAGCAGATATCACACTCCGGCCGCCACCGTCGACGCGCATACCGAGGACAAAGAGCTCCTCGTCGATCACCGCCCGGTACCCGTCGCATCCAGCCACGACACAGTCCCTACTGGCGAAACATGGGACGACTGCCTCCATCTTCCAGGAGCCGAAAACATTCTCGTTCTCCTCAAGACGGGAGCCACGGCCATCTACGACCGTCTTCCCATGCACTTTGAAAGTACATTCAAATGCATTCCACATTACATGATTATTTCCGACCTGGAGCAAACCATCGGCTCCGTACCCGTCTACGACGTTCTGGAACTGGTTACACAAACCACCAAAGAAAACCGCTCATCCTTCCACCTCTACAACGACATTGCCTTCTACCATGCGTCTGGGCAAGATCCCTCCAAGCTTGCAGGCCCTGATGCCTGGGACCTCGACAAGTGGAAATTCCTACCCATGATCCACAAAGCCTGGTCACATTCCCAGACCGAGCTGCACAATACTATCGACTGGTTCGTCATGATTGAAGCAGACACTTCGCTCTCGTGGCTGAACCTCATCCATTTCTTACGTGACAAAGACCCCTCTGAACCCCATTTCATTGGTTCTCCGGCAATGCTCGTCGCAGATGGCTCAACCTTCAACCATGGAGGCAGTGGAATTATCATGAGCCGCACCGCCATTGAAAAAGTCGAAACCAAACGCAAGAACTTTACGCCCGAATTCGAGGACTCCGGCGAGACGAGTATCCAAGCCTACGACAAATACTGGGAAGACCATACGGATCAGGTATGTTGCGGCGACGCTGTCCTCGCACACGCCTTCGCCGATGTGGGAGTCCACGTCACCAGCGCTCGACCGATGATTCAAGGCGAATCCCCATTGACCATACCCTGGGAATTACCCCAACCAGGCAATGCGGATTCCGAGCTCTGGTGCAAAACGCCCATCACATGGCATCACGTCAAGGAAAACCAAGTCGATGAACTGTACCAATTCCAACAAAACTGGGTCGAAAAAGTCAACGGCGGATCCTGGAAGCAGACCTATCTCTACAAAGACATTTTCGAAGAAATGATCTACCCCAACATCGAAAACTTGGGCCGAGACGACCGCGAAGAATGGGACAATCATGCACAATGGATCAAAATCGAAATCGATCCCAAAACCCGAGGCATCGGCGTCGCCGGCCCCAACATCCCCCAACTCTCTGGCGACGATCAAGCCACACTCGACCAAATCACAGGAGCAGCAGTCGACAGTGCAGAAAACTGTCGTCTGGCATGTGAGAGACGCGGAGCACCGCATCCGTGGAAGGTCCCGGACGAATGTGTGCAGTGGAAATGGGCGACGGGGAAATGTTATTTGGATTTCAAAATTCGATTAGGAGAGATTATGGAGCATTCGAAATTGGGCGATGGGCAGGATAAGTGGATGAGTGGATGGTTGAAGGAGAGGGTGGAGAAGTGGAAGGTTAAGCAGGGAAATTGTGGGAGGTGAAGATGAACTTTTTTTCTTTTTTCTTTTCTTTTGGTTTTATGAAGAAGAAGAAGGAAGAGGATGGACGAGGATGAGGGAGGGTATTGCTTTTCTTTGGGAAATGCGGGAATAGAAAAATCTTCAGCCTTTCTTTTCTTTTTTTTTGCATAGTGGTGAGGCGAGAAAGAGGCGTAGTAGATGTATACTACCAACATGACACTTTTTTTTGATACATTGGTGCCTCTCCACCTCCCCGTCCTCCCTTTCCTTTCCATCCCATTCTCAACCCGCGGTCCCCCCAAAAACTCCAAATCCATCTACTGCCCCCCCAAAGTCCTCCCCAACTCCTCCCCCCGATCCGCAGCAGCTTTCACAGCGCGATCCACAATCTCCGCCAAACGCGAAGCCTCAAAACTCTCCAAAGCAGCTTGCGTGGTACCATTCGGGCTCGTGACATTTTTTCTCAATTGCGCAGGAGATTCTTTGCCCGCAGAGGTGGATTCGACTAACATTTTTCCTGCACCAAAACAGGTTTGCGTGGCGAGGCGCGTGGCTTGGGATTCGGAGAGGCCGAGGCGGACGGAGCTGGTGATGAGGTGTTCGACGAGGGCGAAGAAGTAGGCCTGTTTTTTTGGATGGGGGGGAGGTGTGAGTAGGAGGAGGAGGAGGAGGAGAAGAAGAAGAAGAAGGGAATGGGTTCGGGGGAATGGGTTGAAGGAAGGAGGAGGACGACGACGAAGAAGGAAAAAATAACGAAAAAATAACGAAAAAATAGAAAAAACTTCCACTCACCGGTCCCGAACCACTCAACCCCGTCACCACATCCAACAACTCCTCCCGATCCACCCATTCCACCACCCGACTCACACTCTTCAACAACGCCGTCACCAATTCCTTTTGCTGCGCACTCACATCCTCTCCCGCATACAATCCACTCGCCCCCTCACCCAACAACGCAGGAGTATTCGGCATCACCCTCACCACCGGCAACGATCCTCCTTCCTTTCCCTTTTCTTTTCCTCCCTCTACAATCCACCCTCGAATCGACTCTGCCGTAATTCCCGCCGCAATCGACACCAATACCGGTAATGATGATGATGATGATGATGATGATGATGATCCACCCTCACCCTCGCCACCATTCCCGGCAAAAAACTCTCCAATCTCCTTACACACGACTTTCGCCACCTGTGGTTTTACTGCCAAGAATATAAAATCTACCACCTTCTTTCCACCTTCACCACTACCCACCAGAGCTTCGAGATTGTTGGAAGTATTATTCACTCCCATAGCAGAAATCTTCTCCCGATTGACTTCCCAGGGTTCCGAGACGGTGATTTGTGAGGCGGGAAAGGAGGTGGAGAGGAGGCCGGAGATGATTGCTGAGGCCATGTTGCCTCCTCCTGTGGAAAGATTTGGGAAAAAGAAAAGAGATGTTCATGTTAGTTTTGGGGGGGAGTGTTTATAGTGATGGTCTCTATGGTGGTCATGGTGCTGGTGGGGGTATGGTATGGGAGTGAGGGACACCACGTATGTTACGTACCTATAAAGGCGATTTTTTGCGAGTGTAACAACTCCATAGTAGAAGCCATTGATTTTCCTTTTCCCTTGTGTGTTTGTGTGAGGTGTGGTTGATTTCTCGTTATTCTCGGTTTTTCGTGGTAATGTTGGAAGTTGTTGAGCAAGTCAGAGTGGATGTCCCTGACATTGAGTTCTGCTGCCCGCCTTCGGTTTCGGTCCGTAGTTCGGGCAAGGCAGGTCTTGGCAGAGTGAGAAAGTGAGGGACGGAAGTGAATATCAGATGAAAAGAGTCGTGATATTCATTTATTCATTAGGTTTATTGAAATTTGAATACAACTATCATTCATAACCAGCTCAACTATGTCCAACAGGTTTAATATCATCTTCTTCCTGCTCAACCCGAACTCTCACCTTTTCCACATGTTTCTCACCCCCCTGACTCTTCTCCTCATCATCCTCACTCCCCTCTCGACTAGTACTATACTCCTTCCGTTCACTCACCACCTCCACCCCATCAATCGTCCTCTCCACCAAACTCGCTTTCGCAGGAAATACAGCATGCAAACCAACATACACCACAATACTCGACACAAACCCATACAACCAACAAATCGTATACAAATTCCTCGCACCCTCGGAAATTTTCAAATTCGCACTAATCGACTCCGCCAACCCCGGAAGATTCGGCAACACAGCCACCAAGAACGCGAGAAAACCTTGCCAATTGATTCCATGCCAATATCGATATCTTCCTCGTGGATTGTAGAGAGCGGGTACGTCGAGATGTTGGTTTTTGACAAGCCAGAAATCCGAACAAATGATTCCGGCAATGGGCGCGAGAAAGACGGAGTATCCGCCCATGAAGGCGAGGAATGTGGTTGCTGAGGAGAGAATTTTCCAGGGCACGATGACCCAGCCTCCGATGATGGCGGCGAGGATGCAGCCCCGGTAGATGTTGATCCATTTGGGGAAGAGGACTGTGAGGTCGTTTGCTGCGGAGATGCTGTTGGCCTGTAGTTTTTGAGAGAGAGAAAGAGGTTAGTAGTTATTTTTCTTATTTTCTTTTCTTTTTATCCCCGGAAATGGCATATACTGCCATTTCATTTTCACAATTTGGTGGTGAAAGCTTCTTACCGTAATATTCGTACCAACAGTAGCAATATACCAGGAAGTCGCAGCGAAGAATGCAGCCGCTCGCCCTCCGTGTCCATTCTCTTGCCAATGCGTCATGATATCCAAAGGATTCCACAAATATCCATCTTCAGGCCAGATGACATTCGTCGCCGAAGTAGTGACCACGCCAATCACGCCACATAAAGTGAAAATGATTGGGAGAGCTGGGAGTTGCACGTATTGTCCTTTTGTGGACTTTGCATAGCGCGAGAAGTCCGGGATATTGCAAGCAAGTGTAGACCATGACCCGGTGACAGACGACATGCAGCTCAGCCAGAGATATGCATAAGTCGAACCACTGACCGTCGGTTTCTGCTCAAAGAGTGGTCCTCCACCTCCCGCCTTGTGAATACACCAAGCCATAGTCGCAATAGCAGTAACAGGCGCCGCAATCAACTTAACAACAAACAGCCAACGCAATCTCGTCGGCGGAATCAGCAAAAGCGGCAACTGAATAATCCAAAACAAAAAATAACTAATCATCCCCTGCGACGAAATCCCCTGCCTCTCATATCCAATGCGATCCGGAATCTCATTATACGAAGGCCAAATGGAAGACAGCATCACCGTCAAACATTTCGCCCCATTCGCCCCTTGAATCCCCAACCAAAACATGGCCAAAATCGACCTCGACACAATCGCAAAATACGCAAAGTAATATCCAAACCCCGATCGCACAATTACCGCAAAAGGAATGTGTAAAAAAGCTCCAATCGCGCCATTCAATACCATCGGGATCGCTACACAGAGATTTCCGACGAAAATTATCGGAATCGCTTCACGCCATGTGAGACCCACGGCGATGATGGAACTGCCGGTTTCCCAGGTTCCTAAATTAATGCAGTCGGTGGCCCAGTAGGCGATCCACGTCCAGATGGTCCAAGTTTGGTCTTGAGGGGGCGAGGGATCCATATCTTTGTTGGTCCAGACGTTGTCGGGGGCGAGAGCGCTGGATTGTTTGGGAAGTTGCCAGCTTTGGAGAGATGTACATCTTTGCTTGAGGGTTGCTTTGGATGGGATTTGGCTCTTGATGAAATTTGTGGTTCGCTCCATGGTGGTTGCTGGTTGGTGGGCACAGCAAAGTGGAGTTGTAAATGAGAGAATGGAAAGGGAAGATGGATACAAAAAAGACCTACCCCCAGTGCTCATGCTCACGCTGACCTTTCAGGATATCAGCTCTGAAATAATCGAGCACCTATCTACGATAGCCATAGCACAACCTTTTTCTAAGCCCTACCCTGTACTGCCGCCGAAGGGGGGGAACAAGGGAACATGTAAGTACCACAGAGACACAAAAAGAAAATTCTTGCTCGACCATTGGCTATCACAGTCACCTTATCACCCAGGCTGGCAAAGTAAGTGTGTAAACCAACATGTGTATGTGTAAGGTATACACAAGGCAATTCTCCTATCGCGCGACATACCTAGAAGAAGAAACAGAGCAAGCTTTGTACCTCCCGGTCTTATCTCTTGCTTGCTTGCTTGCTTGCTGGCTCGCATACATGATACATGTACCAGCCTACCAGGTATGTAGCAAGGCTTTTCACAGGTCCAGGCCCAGGCCCAGGTATTAGATGAATATCTGCCACCACTATCTGCCACAATCACACAGATAAATAAAAAATCATTGTGTTTGCATAGGAAAAGCTAGACTCTGATATTTCGTCACCCGCGAAAATGGGAACTATACATTTTTTTTTGGTGTTGGGAATGATGGAAAGGGGGGTACAAATCGTGATGCTGTTTTGCATACGCTCCGGTTCATCTGGACTTGAAAGGAGGTGATCACACAGACCCACTTTTGAACGGTACGGCACGCTCCTCTCCCGAATAGCGGGTGATTCAGCTCCTTTCTCTTATCATATCGTCTCTAGAGGTATCTCAGAGATGTTATATAGTATATACGTACTAAGATATATATTCGTATTCTCCTCTCCTCTCCACGAACGGATTCAACAGTAAGATAAATAACGATCAGTACCAAAGAATGAACATGTCAAGCTGCTGCGAAAGAAAGGCCTTCTATTATTCAAGCATATTCCGCAGAGCGGCCATGATCCCCTTCCCCGCGGTCTATGTAGGTAGGAAGGTAGGTAGTGAGTATGTAGCATTAGTCGTTTCAGAATCACATCAACGCCGTGAAAAGGTCAAGTCCCCAGAGAAGAAGGTACCTCCGCTCCCCCCAGAAGAGCATGACCATTGTCCCATAGAGAATCCACTATCATCCGCCTGCGCCTTCGCTCAAACGTATCAAACCATCATCTGCAAAGTAGAGTGAATGCCACATTCTACACAAAACATCATCAATGCCCCCTCCCGGCATATGCGTCATCATGCTCCAAATCGTGCTCCTAATCTTACTTTCCTGATGCTTCGCCAGTCTCGCGCCACGTCACAGTAGCCGAATGCCATAGCCAGAAACGCCCGTCCTTTGCTTCGCGCACAAGTCAAATCATGCCAGCTATCCAACGCCGAGAGCAGAAGCCCAGTCCACGTCGTGCAATTGCGCCCATCGGAGCTACGTCCAGCAATGTCTACTCGCACATCGCTTGGAGGTCTGGCGGCGCGCTTCGGGAATCGAAAGCGTGATCGCGGAACAGTGCTACTTGGGTGTCCGTCCGCCGCCAATGGCGCCAAAGGTGTTGCCATTAGTTTTGGGGTCCGTACCGATATCCATGTCGAAGAGTGTGTCGCTCTCATGTTCTTCGTCGATGCGCTGGCTGATGCTGGTGCTGCTCAAATTGCGGTCCATGGTCCCACGCGCAGTGGAGCCGTTCGATAGTGTTCTCGTGGGCACGTTAGGCCCACCTCGTGCAGCTTCCAGCCGAGTTCTTGCAAGTTCCTGGGTGAGCATGCTCATGCTTGCCTGGTTGAGTCTGCCGGGACTACCGATACTGGGGCTCAAGTCACCAGTTCCCCCGTTCAGCCCAGCAGCACCGGCTGGATGTGATGTGGGGAACGAGGAATCGCGAAGGGGTGAGCCAACATGGCCGAGACCGTTCTGCATAGCAGTACGTGCGAACACTCCGCTGTAGCGCGAGGGACTCGACGAGTGAGGACTACCGACCTTGCTGTCGAGAGGAGTACCATGGCCGGAGAGGGTGCGGGATATTCTGCGAGGTCGATCTTCCGGTATCAGATCGTGAAGACTCGAAGGAAGGAGCTCTTCTTCCCGATCAGAGTGACCCTCCTCGTCTTCCGCCCAATCGTCGAATGGCGTGGGTGCAAAGCCACCGTAGCTGGCCGCAACCATTCCCATACCTCTGCCTCCCGAGGAGCGGAGTCGACTCGAGTGGAGTGGTCTCTTTGCGAAAGACAGTGGCTCATCAGGCCCACTAGGTGGAGAGGAGCCCAGGCCTGCAATCACATTGTCCATGCCACCATATGCAGAGTTGTGCAGGTCACGTATTGCAGAATTCCCGAGCTGTGATTTTCGAGGCAGTGATGAAGGAGGCGAGTCTACGCCGAACCGAGAGGGCACGGAAGCGGCCATTGCGCCAGAAGGACCATGTAACGCAGCCCACGAGACGCCGTTGCTGTCGAAGCTGTTGGGAAGAGGAGCATCCAGCACAGAGAGCCCCTTCAGTGTGGGAGAGGTGGCAGTGCGATCATTAGTCGGCGGTGTGCCGTATTTGGGCGATGCGGAGGTGTACGTCACGTCGGGTTGTTGCATATCGTGCCCGTTCTGCGGGCCATATTGATAGTGATCAAAGTCGGGTGGAACGTCGCCGTTTGGTCTCTGCTCGAGGCCTTGGGCTAGTAGGCCCGGTGGTGGAAGCCCGTATGCGGCGGTCAGCGGCGGCAGTGTCATGTACTGGGAAGGCTGCGGATAACGCTGATTGACAATGGTTCCATCTGGCGTGACGTGCAGCAGCGCGCACTTTCGTCCGAATTTGCAGCCACCTTTGGCAAAATACTTGCAGGGCGCCGGTCGTGTTGTGGACTCAATGTCGTGCGAGAAAGGACACATTTTCCCGGCCTGGCACTGCCCTTGTAGATAGAACTTGCATGGGACATGTTGCGTGTCTGTCGGCCAGTCAGTTAGGCCCCATGATATCTCTTTCACCCACCGTCACCGCTGGCTGCGTACTCTTGTTCTTGGGCGGACTGGGAGCCATGCGTTGAGGCATCCCGTAACCACCACCACCACCACGCTGGCCACTATTGCCTATCGGGAGCCCATTTCGCTCCGCCTGCATCCTGGCGGATTGACTCAGATTCGCGATGGCGTCAATGGAGCGGCGTGTACGAGGCGAAGAACGACGGTGGTGCGACCGGTTCGGGGTGGGAGTGGTGGAGGGCGAATGTAGTAAAGATAGTGGTGGGCGTTGTGTGCTACTACTCATTTCGAAAGAAGGCTGACCTCGTGCTTGCATGTGCGTGCGTCAAGTCGAAAGCTGCTGCGGGGTGAGTCCGTCCGTTGGCGGCGGGCCCCGATAAAACTACCGTAGGGGGAATGCCCGCCCGCGACGGTGAACGGTCAGGTAGTACCGAAGTGGAGGGTACCGTAAGGTCAGGTAAGGTTGGTAGTGAACGTCGGTATCTTTCACTGATAGAGCATGTACTATACTGATCAGAAGGGGAATGATTGCGCCATCTGCAGGCTCTGTGGTGGATGGCCTTACCTAGTATAGCATCACTGCAGTCTTATAGTACAGGTCAGGTCAGATATAATACTTCTCAAACTTCTCATCAATCGGACAGCCCGTGTTCGTGTTCCTGGATCGAGGACGGAACCTTTTTCGCGTGCCGGCCGGCGTAGATTTGCTAATCTCGGCGTCGCTTGGAGACGGCTGATGAAATTCAGAAGAGCACTACGGTCAGGTAGAAACGGTGAATTGTGTCTCGGAACTCTCTTCACACTGTCTTCACCTCGACGGGCAGTGAAGAGCAGGACAGGGCTGGGCTGGGCTGGGCTGGAAGCGAGAAACGGGAGGTACAAGAAATGACACTGTAGCTCAGAGGAAGCGACAAGAGCGCTGCTCCTACTACCACCACTAGTAGGTACCTTACTCGTGGCCGAGATGCGGTGAGAGGTCGTGCTGTCATAGCCCCATGATGATGAGCTATGAGAGCTATAGGATCATCATCGGGCTCATGTCTTGAAGGCTCTCCCGCGTGCAGTACCGGGTTATGGTGGGCACGCGTGGGATGGGCCACGCCACGAAAAGAGACAAGATGGACAAGTCGTGGACCATGTGACCATGATGGAGATAAGGTGACAATGGGAGACATAGGGACGACGTGTCAGCACGCGCGGCGTAGGTATCTGAAGAACAACAACAGCGACAGCTGTTGGAGGAGTACAATTGCCCGCAGGCATGGACAGACATACCGAGAGTCCGATATATGCATGTATTGATCAAGCATTGCAGATGTCATCCATCGACATGGCACAAAGGCACACTCTTCACACGGTGTGAGCCTCTTCCACTCAAGACAGACATGACACGGCTACGAAAGCGCTGGATATTGCACAGCGCGGACACCTTTGCAAGTTTGACAGTTGCTTGTTCAAGAGCACCCATCTCAGCACAAGATACAGTGTATGCGTCGGCTTCGCGTGATGAGCAGATCGCAGATTCTTCGACCATGCCCCCCCGACGTGGCCTTCATGAACGTGCTAGTCCGCAGTCGTGCCCGAGCGATATGAAGGAAGGATGCGAAGGTGCGAGTTGGCTCGTACAACCTCTCCGATATCCTCGAGGTCGTAGCAAGCGCACGATTGCAGGTTTCTCGAGCAGCCATCTGCGTACCTATAGGTCGAAAGCAACTTGATCGAGGAAGAGAAGGTCATTTTAAGGCATACCTGGCCTTCACACTGCTGCTGCTGCAGGAAGAGTCCTACCTTATCGGCTTCCGATCAGCGCGCTCGTTACCTATAAGCACCAGCTGCCTGTGGCAATGGAAGGCTTCAATTGGTATCAGTGGCCACCGAGAAGAAGAGTGAGGTGTGTGTGTAAGGTAAGGGAGGTATCAGGTACATAAGGTAGGTATTGTCGTTCCCAGGTACCCACCTACCTACCTAACTATATCTGATCTTCAATACCCTGAGGTTGACCTGATCGATCTCAAGACGTACCTTAGGGTAAGGTAGGTACATTCACCTACCTCCTTCCGTACCTATTCAGGAAACGTGAACGCAAAAGGAAGCTAGTTGTCTAGCGCGACTTCCTCGCGTTGAGGCGTTGAAGCAGGAACAACAACACCACCTCACCTCTCTCCCTCAACCGACCACCTCCTCCTCACCTCCCTCGTCTCTTTTCTCACACCCACACGCTCTTTACCTCGTCGCTTTTCTCACACCCACACGCTCTTGACCTCGTTGTCTCGACACACGCTCTTTCACCTCGCTCATCTCAGCCCCTCGTTCATGCCAGAGGGCAACACTGCCTCACCATGAGGATGCAGCCCGCTGTGATGGCAGCCATTGCGGTCGCCGCCGTCGCTGATGGCAAGTACTGGAATGCGACACTGCTCGAAGACGACGTTGCCAACCGAACCACTGGGTAAGTACACCGCACTGCACCACCTCACGCCTTGAATCCCTCCTGCCCTTCTCCGGTCTGGAAGGTACCCGCGGACGATGGCGACGGATATGGACACCATTTCTGAAGTCCACGATGGTTCTGGACGGGACACTATACAACTGCAATCATACCTGGTACAAGCGAGTCTTTACGATCATCTTGCAAAGCATACATTGGCAGTTCTTCATCATGGCCAAACAGAACAAAGGCCGAGCTAAGCGAAGAATAAATAAACATCAACGAGACCACGCGTCCACCACAGTCGTCCACCCGAGTCTGCCGGAAGATACGTCGATTTCCACTAGCATCTCAGTCCCTACTGTCAGACTTAACGTAAATGACCGCGCGCCACCCAGCCGACACACCCGCAAACAGGATGACGACGCCCGAAGAGACTCAGTGCTGGAAATACATCAGGAATGGAATAAACACTCACGGGCCAACTCTGGACACCAATGGAAGGAGCACAAGAACTGGAATCGAACACCTCGTGAACATGCTTTGCATGCCCAACAGTGGATCGCATCGACTTGGATCAGTCAAAAGATTTCTTCCTCGATATGCTGGCGAACAGCTCAACGCCTGAACCTTCACGACCTCCTTTGCATACTCCTCTTGTTTACTTTAGCTTTTGGTGGTCTTAGTGTCATGGTGGAATACTTACTCGTCAATACCAGGGCATCTGCTGCTTGTTCCACTTCGACGGTCTTTATACCATTCACGGAGACCATCACATCTACAACGCCTGCTTCGGTCGCGCCAGGAGAAACCGTCGCCACCACTCAGAGCTCCTCAGTCCCTACATTGTACTCGACCATTTCCACTTTTACCACTACTGTGTCCCGTATTACCACAGTCACCGCGATTGCAAGCTCATCGACGCCACCAGCGATTACGCCCGCCACAACGACCGTGACTGCTACCGTCTCGGTCATCTCGACCGTCACAGCAAGCTCGCCGTTTACATCAACGACCGCAACCACTTCTACCGGTGGCCCTTCGTACTCCTTCTACGTCACGGACGGCAGCACTGTGTGGCAAAATGGCGTAGCGCCTTCCAGCGGCGCCTCTCTGGATATTGTCACGACGTCTGTGGCCGTAGTTCCAATGCCGGCTACCTTGCCGCCAACATCAAGCAGCTCTATGATGTCCTCTTCAGAGGCGTCCAGGCCATTGACGACATTTACGCCGCCTGCATACAGCTCGACAACCTTCAGCGTGTTGAGCTCTGCGCTGACGACCACATTGACCAGCACACATTACATCACTCGATCGCTCTCTCGAGTATCACTGCCTGCTGCATCGTCCCGTACTAGCTTCACTGGAGTGAACAGTGCAGGCTGGAACGCCTCGAGCACTCAGTTCGCTGCTGCGTCCACTCCGATCCCAAGTGCGTCACCGCGATTTACCAGGTTCACTCGGATGGTCTATTTTGGTCATAACGACATCACGACATCCACCAGTACACAGTTGGTCACGGCTACTATTGGCGAGCCTCCTGGTTCCAGTTCCTATACAGTCGCCTCTAGCCCAACGGGTGCGCCAGTGACGTTGAGCTACACGGTGGGCACCTCGGGTATCTCATACAGCACGAGCATCAGCTTTTCAAGTGCTCTAGCAGGATTGCCTTCCACCTACCCAACAGCAGCCGCAATGAGCACGCAGTTGTCCAACGGTACTACTCTGGCGACTTCTGTGCTGACCTCTGGTCAATCTGGGACTGGGACTGTAACCGATCCCTCAGATGGGATCCACCAGACTATCGGAGCTGCCAGTAGTCAAGAGGCGACAAATGAAATCTCCCGCTCGAATTCGCGGGTATACACCTCTCCCCTGGCAAGCAGCCAATCTGGCACATTCGCTACTGCGACTGTTCCGATTGGCAGCTCAAGTGATGCGGTGTACACCATCACAACTGTCTCCTCTGGATTGGGCACGACTGTCACGATCACTATGATTCGCAGTGCATCTACACCGACATTAACCGTTGTTGATGGCACCACCTACGGAGTCACCCCAAGCACAATTCCTCGCGCGTCAGCTAATAGCATTTTCACTCGTGTGTCTGTTTCACCAACCCTCATTGGAAGCCCCGGCGCGCTATCGGGCCTTAAGACCAGCCCGACGAATGGATTTACCACAGAAATTGTCCAAACTTCAAGTGCTGCTGCTGATCGCTCTTCATTCTCCCGCAACACGGTATCATCAGGACTGAATACGCTATTTTCTGGCACCACACAACCAAGCGCCTCTCGTGAGTCTATCGATACTGGCGCCGCAGCCTCACGGACTTCCGATCTAATCTCATCAACGATCTCGTCAGATCTGGTTTCCATGAGATCCTCCGAGACGTCTGCTGCGCTTGGCAGCTCCTCTTCGGTCCGTGCATTGCCAAGCTCTCCTGTCGCCAGCTCCGAAGTGAAGCCCAGCATAACATCCAGCGAGAGCACTGAGGTCACGACAGCGTCAAGAACGTCCCTTTCAAGTGAGTCCAGCGTCTCCACGAGCCCGTTCTCGAGTCGGTCGCCTACCTCACGAAACACTACCTCTCTCATCACAAGCACTCTCATGGTGCCTTCAAGTCCGACGACCGCTAGCCCGATTGCAAGCTGTGGAGAGCAGGGCAATTTCACAATGGACTTCGACTCGTTGCCAAACTTTGGCCGTCGTGTAAGACTTCACAAGCGCCAGAACTCCACAAGTAATGGCACAGTCCCCAACAGCGGCAACGGTACGACAGACATCACCCAGCAGCCTCCACTCGGCATCAGACCGTACAAGCACATGCTGTTCTCGGGTGGATATGTGTATGCTCCACAGCCAGTCGAGCCTTTCGCACCATCGTCGCCACCGAACGTCGCGGCCTTTCTGGCGAACAGCACTGGTCTCAAGGCGGGACCTGCACCGCCACTGCAGAATGGCCTCGAACCTGGTGAGATTGCCGACGGGCCTTACCATAATGGCAACCCAGCTTTCTTTTTTGATGCTCGCAGTGCTGCTCTCGGTTGCGATAGTCAGAGCACGCCATGCACCATGGAAGTCACTGGTTACACCTGGAATGATACCATGAAAGACGACGTGCCAACGCATGTTCAGAACTACACGCTTCCAGCATGCGAGGGCTACCGCAACTGTCAGCTGACACCGGTGGACTTCCCGCCAACCTTCCGGAACCTCAGCGGCATTCGCATGCGCGCGGTCAGAGGCTCCGAGCCTCGCACATTTTTCGTTGATGACATCCATGCTCGCTGGGCGGACAGTTCATGTGATGCAGGCATTGCTCGGGAGAATAGTGCGTGAGATAGTGAGGTGCAAGATCAGAGAGCATCAAGCGCATCAAGACGAACTCGCAATAATACTTCGAGAACAATTGAGGTGCAAAGTTGCATAGTGCACTTGCTTGTCGAGAAAGTTTTGACGTGCCGAGCAGCTTGAAGTGGAACGTTCAAGCATGCTTTTTCGGATTGGGCGGGAGTTGTCCATAGGCATGTAGCCCAAAACTGCAGTACATTACTGGATACTGCCGTGCAGTACAGTATGAGAGGGATATCTACGATCTGGAATCGTGGAAAAGGCCTGTATCTAGCGATTATAATCAAAAAGTTGTGCCATCTCATCCGGAGCGACCCATTTGCAGCACTCTGTTTTTTTGAAAGATGTGCAATCTATTCGTCATAGAAACCACGTACCATGGGACTTACACTCTACACGTCCATGATTATCTGGCCTTGGAATAGAGGCGAATATCGGCAGAGTGCGCTCAGTGGTGACGACCTTGGCATGAGGAGAATTCTCGAGGCATCTTGATCTCCCGCTTCCAAACCTCCCTCTCCTGTTCCACTCAGCGTCCTTACCTGATTTTACCGCAGCATGTCGCAGCATCGGGACGCCAACATGTTTGATGAAGATGAGCAAATGACGATGCCGAAGCGGAGCGCGAGACGTGCTTCTGTGGCAGTCGGAACTGGCGTCGGTGTCGGTGGCGGTGGCGGTCATGCTGTCACCAATCGCGACGCAGACGTCAGTTTCAAAGCGCGAGAGGTCGTTGACGCATACGCAGGGCATACCGCACCCGCCGCTCCTGGGTCTGCAAGGCAATCCTATCTCCAAGTCAGCGAGCCTACTACAAGAACAAGCAATCCCAAGGGCAAGCAGTCGTTCGACCCACGACTGTACGAGAACCGCTACGGCGACGCAGTCGGTGCCGCCGGTCACACGCGCAGGCATACGGTGGCCCGGAGCATGTCGACGAAAGATCGCGCAGCAGTACAGTCGCATCTACAAAGTGCGGCTGCGAAACCAGCCGTCCGAGGCCTAGCGCCGCTCCTCAGCGAAGATCCGCTTGCCCCCGGACCGCAGTCCATCGAAGAGAACGGTCCTGCAACGCCTGAGGACATCCAGCATTGGCTTGTTGACGTGCGCGCTACAATCTTGTCTCGGATGGGAGACAGAGTGATGCTTGATGGGAATACTGCCGCGCAGAGCAGCGGCATCGCGGCTCGACACGCCATACCAGGCAACGAAGATGCTCATGTCCATCAGCAGTATGATGAGCAGAACCTCGCTGCCACAATGCCGATGTCTCCGGGGCATAGCGCACCGATGAATCAGCAACAATTCTTTAGCCATCTCAGACGGCAGGCGGAGCAGGTAGTCATGGCTGCTGTTTCGTGTGACATACCGGACGACATCGCAGCTCAAGAGCTTCATGACTTGTGGGTCGCCATGAGCGATACCGACGCCACGGATACCGACGCAGAGAAAGTGAGGACCGAAAAAGATGTGAAACCACGGAGCAGACCTGCACTTGCTGTCCGGAAGCAGTCATTTCTGCAAGTGACGAGTCCTGAAGAGGAGGACGATCCCACTATGACCGGATGCTCATGGAACGCCCAGTCCAGACGAGGACAGCAGTCCTGCTCGCAGAAAAATGGTAACGCCTGTAGGATATCATCCCGTGAGCCCGACACCGAGCAGTTTCCGATGCCTACAAGATCCGGACCAAGCTCGCTACAGCCATATCGACGCGCTCTCTCTCCGCCTCCGGAGAATTGGCTGACAGAGGATCCGAGAAAAGACAGTCTGACAATGGCTGCGAACGGCACGCCCAAGGCCGCTCGCGAACAACGCGAATATCAGGACGAACCCTCTACCACAGCCAAGCGCAGTGCGGACGTCCTGGCAAGACTGTACTCGACAAAAACGACATCCTGGCAAGCCAAACAGAAGCCATCGCTAGGTCCATATAGCGCTTCGGCTGCCATGTCACAGCCAAGATGGTCTGCGGTCGGGCGTCCCGGTCCGTCATCCTCGAGAGTTCCGAGAGGGCGTCCCGATACTGCGATGGCTAGAGCTATGAATACTGATGAGAAGCGGCTGATGAGGTCGAGGTCCAGAAGTACCGTGCGGAGGAGGCGGCGAACAGCCAGCGCGGACTCTTCAATCTCAACCAAACCGGGGTCCTGTAGGCGCGAATATCAACCACTGTCGGCGAGGGCCGACCGCTCAACTTCACGTGTTCCACCGCCTCGAGCACGAGACCCGCCGTCTACAGCGCATCCCAAGCTCAGGCAATCCACATTCGCCAGAAGTCTGAGGCCCGATCCCTTTGGGCCCAAGCCGGAGGTCAGTACGCGGATGTCGGACAGAAACAATGCGAGCATAAGGGCAGCTCGCCAGGCGACTGATGCCTATCCTGGTGCAACCAGTCGTAGGGCGCCTCTCGAGACTCGAGACAGTCTATCCTCGCCTCGAACAGACATACGGAAAGGGCCTGACGCTACAATAGCTCGAGAGTCGACCCCCAAAGTGCCATGTTGGGAGCGTTTATCGCAACAGCCCACAACGTCCTGGTCTTCGAAAGGTAAAGCCCCGATTAGGAACGACGATCATCAACGTCATCTACGCAGTGACCGGCATGATAGGCAGCGCTCGATACATGCCAATCCCAAGCCGACCGGTACTGCAAGAATCTCCGTTGTGGGCGAAGATTTCGTTACAGCTATGGAAGGCAAAGTTTGTGATAAGTCCTTCGATGCTCAGAAGTATAACGTCGACGACGACTTCGGAGGTCGGACACGGCAAGATTCTGGACGCCGCGCTGTAGCTCCCGGCGTCACAGACCAGTACAGGCATGCCCAGCCTCCGGCGTCGTCACAAGACTTGGATCTCCCTTTGCCGATAGATCGTGACGGGAGCAGAACATCCTTTCACGAAGATATAGGCTGGGTTTTCAGTTCTACCGGCCAAAGGCATTTAGCCGGACATGCTTCGCCCAATGATGCACCATCGGTCCAAGCCAGGACTTCTTGCTCCAGTATTGCGGGTGGTCTACCAAGTCCGGAGCAACTCCAAAGCATGGCCGATCAGGCGACTGGATCGCGCGGCAAGCAGCCAGTGAGTGCAAGGTCAGTTGGTCCCGCAGGCGTCCACTTTGCCGAGTATAGCTCGGACATGGAATTCAGGGAGCCCCCGACCTTGATAGCAAAGACCAGAAATGCCATTGATAAGATCATGGCACCGCTCAATAAGATTGGCAATTCCTTCAAAGGGAACAAAGTCCCCGGACGTCCTCGCAGAGGGAGTACAGGCAGCTTAGTGGAGGATTTTGCAGGGACGCCCAGTAGGCTTGCTGATGGATTGATGTTTGCTGGCAACCCCGTCATCAGCCATGCGAATAGCTTGCGGCCAGAGCACAACCCAAGTGTGTTACGAACGCGAACAACGCGAACGAATATCTCGAACTGCCAGCCGCAAAATGCAAGAGCTCCGAGCTCAGGTTCGAGGGGGACGACTTATCCTGCTTTCAGGGCGCCACTTGCGACTCATATAGAAGAGGCTGAAGAGGAGCCGAGACCCGCAATAACACCAAGCACGGCCGTGTACGAACTGCCTGATACGAATATTGAACCTGATCTCCATTCAAGGCTTCGAGCAGCCGAGGCGCACCTCCGTGAGTTGCAGGAGAGCGCCGCCCAAAGGTCAAGGACACAACACGGCCAACGAAGACGATAGCTACAGCGGCAGCGGGTTCGGGATCAGGCGATTTGAGATTGCCAGAGAACCAATTGTCGAGATATGAGTGATGATGGCCATGTGCGTCTTTTGTGATATCCAGTACACCAAAGCGCGTCATTCCGGCTTGATGAGGAGTATATGGAACATGGTAAGGCGAGCGAGTTCCTGATACAAGTCAAATTTATACTGACCAGAGGCATCTAGGTGTGGAAAGCTCCAATGGTCAAGATGGTATAAGACGGTATACATGTACCGATGAACAGCAGACGCGTGAAGTAGGAGCAAGAAATGAACCTTGTCTGCAAGCGTCTTGGCTTGATCTGCATTGCCGAGGACAACACTACTGTACCTCAGTGACATGCACAACGTCACCTCCAGAACTAAATTCGAGGTGGTAATACTTGAGGTTGGAGGATACCTCCTACCCCCCATCGAGATACACTTATATCCGCCTCTTACGCGCCACTAATGTAATAGCATATATATACAACAGCTCACTAGTCCTTCAACATTTCCCTCCACCTCTCCCATCCAGACCACTTCTCTCTTGAACCAACAAAACGCCCTAATCATCATCCATAAATAATCCCTCCACTTCCACCATGCCCCTCACAACCCTCTACCTCCTCTCCCTCGCCCCCAACACCTCCATCTCCCAATACCTCCGCGCCCTCAATTCCTACCCCGTCAAACCCCTCATCACAGCCAAACCCGTCCGATGGATCATCACACCCGAAAAATTCTCTCCAGAACTCCTCGAAACCACGTGGGATCTCTTTCTCATCCTTGACCCTTCTACCTCTTCTTCTTCCTCTCCTTCTCCACCAAAAATCCCACAAACTTATCTCGGAAAAGACTGGATAAAAAATTCCTGGACTCTGACAGCAGGAATTCCATCTTCGCTTTTACAAGATTTCTCACAGAAGAATTCTCGCCTTTTATATCCTCAAGAGAACAATACCACTCTTCCGAACTTTACAGGATCCCTTCAAAATCCTCTCCTAGCAGACTCTAGTCAAAAATTAGAATTATCCCCAGATTTACTAGATTGGAGTCAAAAATTCTCTTCTTCCTCTTCCTCCTCCTCCTCTTCGACTTCTTCCTCTTCCTCCTCTTCGAGGCCCGGCCAAAATGGGGCAGTGAGCATGTTGAATTTACTAGCTTTTTGGCCCGGAAAAGAGGCACATGAGAGTTATTTGCAATATGGAAAGGCGTTTGGAGAGAGTATTGGGAAGAGGAGGGGAGGGAAAGCGAAGATTGTGGGGAAAGTGGTGGTGGCGGCGGGGGGTCAGGGGACGAGTCAGAAAAAGAGGCAGGAAGGAGAAGGAGATCATCAGGATGGGTGGTGGGATGAGGTGGCTTTGGCGCATTATCCGAGTAGGTTTCTCCCCTCTATCTTTCTTTCTACACGGACATGTGGAAACCTGAAAACCAAGGCGGGTTGTTCAAAAAAAAGTTCAATGTTTGTGCTAACATGTTTGTGCGTGAAACAGCCATTCATCATTTCACCGATATGCTGGCAAGTGAGGATTATCAAAAAGTGAATCACGAATTCAGACTACCGGCTTTGAAAGATACATGCATTCTGTGCACGACAGAACTCGATTCAGAGCTCAGTATTGATGAGGCGAAACTGTAGGATCAGAAAAAAAAAGAGTCTTTTATTCGCTCAGCTGCAGCCGCCGCCACCACATCCACCGCAACCGCCTCCTGCAAATAAATGTTAGCGATCGAATTTGCAGAATGGTGAAGCACATTTCGACTTGCCGCCGCCGCTCGTGCCGCCACCACCACTCGAGGGACCTATCAAAGTAGTTTTTTTAGCATGAGCATACATGTAGTATAAAAGATGGACATGACATGTCTTGCTCACCTCCGCCCGGACTTCCGCTTGAAGATGGTGGGATATAACCCTTGGGTCCACGCAGCTTTTCAATGCCTTCCATGACAGCCAAGACCATGACCTCCACTTCAGGAGCCAATGCTGCGTAGAGGTTCAACTGCGCAACATGTAATTTCCCGCCAGCAGTTTCCTCGAGAATGTGAACGTAGACTGCGGAAACCTGATGAGGGTGTTCATTCTCATTGTAGAGCGCCCAGTGCGCCCAATACGTGTCGGCACTCCCAATGAAATGCGGATCCTCGGTCCTAAAAGCGAAGAAGAAAAAAAAAAGTCATGTCGGGCTTCTCCTCAATCTCATTGCAAATACCCACGAAAAAAAAATGTGGGTTTCATCCAAGTAGAGGAATACTTACCGCTCCCATCGATACGTCTGATCTCCCACCTTGAACACCCGAGCCTCATTCAAATACCCCACCGTCCCTCTCGTTTTAATCCTGGGCCAAAAATTTTTCTCCTTAGCTCTCAACATCTGATTGCCATGTTTATCCAGCTTAGTAGCACCCGCAACAAACGGATCACCGAGCAAGACACCAAATCGAGTCGAATGGCGACCCGAGCCTCGACAGGCCGCGAGAATTTCTCCGGGCGAGCCATTCGCGTGCAGACGATGAATGGTGCTGATGTTGATGCCGAATTTCGCTCGCGTGAGATTGGTGTAGTAGAGAGGTCTTCCGTTCTCGCGGACTTCGTATATGCCGGCCAATGTGCTGCCGTGGGGGGAGATGATGTCGTAGGTTCTGCTCGGGGGGAAGACGGGTCCCGTGTAAGGTGGTGGACTCGGTAAGGAGTATGTGGCGCCCATGATTATGAAGATAATACGATGATGCGCTAGGTGTGAGAAGTTCAGGGAGGAGGATGGTGCACACTACACTATCGAGGACGTTGAGTCGTGGTCCATACAGCGATGAGTGCGGTAGTAGCGTTCCATGATGTATGGCATTGCGACTCCGGAGGAAGGCCCTGCTCCGTCCAGCGGCAGGACCAGCTGGAAGCTCAAATTGAGGTCGCTTACAGTGCTGTAGACGTGCTATGAGGGAATATCATCTCCAGTCACCTGCGAATGAGCCGATGAGCTGATGACGAGCGAAGAGCATCTCTGGTGATTAAAATCCGAGGGCTGGACGTGTAGTCAGTGTGGAGAAGAACTCCGGTCAATATGAAGAAGCAATAGTCATCGGACAGACAGATTTGGCCGAGGCTGCAACCTCTCCCGACGAGCGCACGACAATGATCGACAGCGCGGGAGCAGACATCGCAGGTCGGAAGTGCCACGAAGCTAGAGGTGTGAGACTCTTCAAGCAGCGCTTCGCCGTACGCAAAGACGTGAGGGACAGCAGTACGCATGCGCACTGGAACAGCTCATCCTCGAGCGAGGATGTCAGAAGGTTTGTTCAGAAGATGATTTGCTTTTGTCTATAGACTTGCATAATCACTTCTCAGCTACCACGCTGGAAGGAGGTGTCCGTGGGTATCATGTCCATGCCGCTTCTGTGCAAGATTTTCTCCTCTTGAACGCCAGACTTTCAGCAGCCATCAGAACCTTCCATCATCCATGCTTTTTTGATCGTTCGTGAAGCGCTTATGCAACGAGTTGGACAACACCACCGGCCTCGGTGATCTTGCGCTCGGCGTCCTTGGAGAAGTAGCGGGCGCGGACGATGAGTGGGATGGCGGGGATGCGACCCTTGCCGAGGACTTTGCTGTATCCGAGTGGGAGGAGGTCGAGGACTGGGGCAGTGTCGGACTTGCCGCCAGCGAGAGCCTTCTCGCGCTGCTCTTGTGGGACGAGCGACCAGAGCTGAACACGACTGATCAGCATGGCGCCGCGTCTCTCATGCCACCACATACACGGCTACTCACCTTGTCGAGGTTGATCACTGGCTTCCAGAATCCGTTTTGCATCTTGTGGAAGTATCGCATACCGACTTTACCGAAGTAACCCGGGTGGTACTTGTCCATGTTGGTACGGTGGTGGTGCTGACCACCAGCAAGACCACGACCACCGGGATGCTTTCGGTGCTTGCCTACGCGACCGTGACCGGCCGAGACGTGACCGCGGCTGTGAGGAGAAGAAGAAAATTAGTATACCGCTTCATGAGCGAGTCTGCGTTGTCGCGCCAGGTCGCCATTGGGAAGTGGTGTCGCTGGATTCGCGCATCACAAGAGGTCAAAGGTGGACATACTGCTTGCGGGTGTTGGAAAGACGGGTAGGCATATCGGCGGTGTTGTCGATGGGTGTGATGGAGAAACAGTGTTCAACTTCTGAAGCTGAATAGTGAAAGTGATGGGCCAGGTGCGATGGATTTGTGGGCTTGGCGCTTTATTTCCCATTGGTTCGCTTCCACGGACGCTAGCGGCTGTCGGTTTTCCATCGCTTCAGCAAACGATCTCATCGACAGCATCCTCGCTTCTTCTCGACTTTTAACTCCTAGGTTTGTTAACCGAAAAGTCTGTCAAGGTTGCGCGGTTCTACCGCATCATTTTGTCTCCAGCGTACCACCTTCAGCAGAAGCACTGCCTTCAAGCCGTTCTCGATCTATTCTCCAAGTCATGCAGTTCCAGGCACGTAGAGAATACTGCCTTATGCATTCTGATCCCGTGGCGCCCATGCTGGCTGACATCCTCGTCAGTCTTCAGATATGGGCAATGACTCGCTGAACATAACATAGGAGGTAGAGCATCTTCGTTGTTCAAGCGGCTACTGCATCACTGAAATCTTCCATCACGTCAACTTCGGGCCTCTGTCTTAGAATACATGCACTCAAGCTGGTCTGCATGCTGACCACGGCCGACTTTCATAGTCTTTTGGCACCAGTATTGGGCGGTGAGGTGCTGCTTCGGACGATACTGGCGTAGTCTGGATAGCTGGGAGTGCTTGGGGAAGAGCATACTGGTTACAAGCTGTACGCTATCGATCCGGTGCCATCGTGGCTTTTCCTCACCACTTATGTGTCCCAGGCTGTGGCAGCTCAAAGAGTCTGTGATGGCGGAGCGCATAGCCTATGTACGCTATGCGTGCAATGATGTTCTGCCCCATACATACCTAGGGTAGACTATGTGTGGCCGAGTGGAGGGACAAGAAATGCCAGAAGCATCATGAAGCCGTGACGCTTATGTAAGACATGATGGGGCGCGAGTCATGTGCAGGTAGGTTACCTAGTGCCTGCCTCCAATCCTCTTTCGATCATCATCAACGGCCGCTCATCGATGCCGTGGTCGCATACATGGAAAACGACTCTTCCTTCGCAGCTGACTCCTGCTATGTGCCTCTACTGGACGCGGAAAGGCTCGAGCAGTACGGTCCAGGAGGGCTACATCCAGTACACCTTGGCGACAAACTGCAAAATGGAAGATATCTAATCATTCGAAAACTGGGACACGGCGCTTTCTCTACCGTGTGGCTAGCTCGAGATTCGAGCTGTGAGCATTTGGTCGCCATCAAGATCATACGCTCTCAGTCGGCACGGGCTGATCAGGAGCTCCGCATGCACGAGATTCTGCTGGAGTCGAAGATGCGCAATCTCGCCCAAGACTGCATTGTTACCTTGCTAGACAAGTTCGAGCACATCGGACCAAATGGCAGGCATCTTTGCCTGACCTTTCCGCCCTTGGGACCAGATATCACGACCCTGTTCAGAAGCAGTTCTGGCGCCCGCCCTAGACTACCTTACGAACTATCGCGTCAGGCTGTGAAGCAGTTGCTGACAGGGCTATATTGTCTGCATGAATGTCGCATTGCCTGCGGGGACATTAATTTTGGCAATCTCCTGTTGACTCTCGACCAATCCGACCTTGCAAATGAAGAAGAAGAAGAGCTGAAACATCCAATGTCGAAGACGAGCGTTGCACCGAGTAAGCAGCAGCAATCGCACAATCCAAAGTATATCTGCGAGGACTTTCCGCTCGGAGAATATGTTGAAGACTCCACAACAGTCAAGGTGAAGCTTTCAGATCTCGGTGCTGCGTTCCCATTTCACGACCCCCCTAAACAGCCAATCGTGCCGCTCGCGCTACGTGCACCAGAGGTGATCCTGGACCTCGAGTTCGACCACCCTATTGACGTGTGGAGCTTTGGCTGCATTGCCTTTGAGCTGTTGATAGGTACTCCACTGTTTGCAGTGGCAAGTTCGCCCGTGATGACCGATGACGAGACCAATGATGATCACCTTCTGAAGATGGCCGGCACACTTGGACCTCTACCGCCAGCTCTATTTTCTCGATGGCCTCGTGGACAGAGGTATTTCAACTCCAAAATGGAAATAACCCGCACAGATGTCAGCGACGACCCAGTACCGCAGGCAGAAGTCTACATCGCTCCGACGCTGGAGACGATGTTCATGACAGGGAAATCAAAGGAGATGACCATGGTCGAAGCGAGGTCCGCGATCCGATTCTTGCAGCGAGCATTACAATACGAGCCCTCTGCACGCCCTACAATCTCACAGCTCATGGAAGATCCGTGGATCAAGGAGATCGAAGCATTGTTTTGATCGTTCGTTACTCCTTCATATCTTACACTCTCCAAGCAAGTGTCAATAGTAATGTATACTACATGTCATGCTCATCAGTTAATCACCGCTATAACAGATCAAATCGACACTTTCCATAAGTATCAAGTGGTAGGGAAAATAGGAAACTTGCCACCCCGACATAGCCGCCTGTCTCAGGTTCAAATAAGCCCTACGCGAATCCATTCCTCGGCACTGCTTGCATCTCAAACCTCCCTATGGGTAAAGACACTCGCAAACGAGCTGATAACGGTCGCTATACTCGCACTTCTCGGTATTGCGACACTCCACTCTCCTCTACTCTCGAATCCTAGCGATCTTGCCCGCCAAACCCCTTCTTACTACTGGACAGCGTGGTCTGATGCGATCAAGCGAGAGTCTTCGCTGGGTGGACTCTATCGCACTCTCCTCTGCTCTCCAATCCCAGCAATCTTGCCCGCGAAAACCCTCTTTACTACTGGACAGCATGGTCTAATACGATTGAGCGAGAAGCCTTAGCCAACTGGGCTGCGCACGTCGTCCTTTTGGTGCGGCGGCGGGGGCGTGGTGGCCACCCAATCCATGGAATCCGGTGTTCGGTGTCCACTCGGCTTGGGAGGTGGTTTGGTAGAGTATATATACCTATGGTGAGGCTTGTGAATTAGGAGAAAGGGGTTTTTTACATTTCACAAGACGGCAAGTACGATGGAGATTGGATGTTTTTTCTGTGGTTTGCATGCTTATCTTGAGGTACTCGTGTAATGTGTAATGTCCATTCTTGTGCTTCCTCATTGGTTACCTGTACATATCCTAAGGTACTCCCTGAGTTGGCTTGTAGGACGTCTAGCTTTTATTCAATTTGCTTCAGCACTCACTTCAAACCAAAACAACAAAACAAACCCCTCTACGAGCAACACCACCAGCCCATAAACCCCGCAACAATCGCCGCCAAACCCCCAGATGAAAAACCCCCACCCAACTAACTCGCCATCTCCCATCTCCCTCTCCCCAAAGTCCCCCTCCTCCACCATCCCCAAAAATTCCCACCTTTCCGCCCTCTCTTCTCCATAAACTTTCTTCCATGACCTGACATCTTCATCCCAATGAGACTCTCTTCCTCCGTATACTATCACCACCACCACCACTACCAACCCCCAAAGAAAGCTTCACTCGTCACTTGCAATAACAACAACACAATAGCGCATCGATAGGCGAGACTGTCATTTTCCGATCGCGCGATGAAATATTGTTTTTTCCAGCAAGAAGAGGGGCTGCTAGGGAGGCTTAATGAGTAAATTAGCCTTTTTCGGGGGAGGGGGAGGAGAAGGATGTATCTTGTAGAGGTTGTAATAATTGTAAAGGTAGTGATAAAACCACGGCTGAATTGCTGCCTGGGTAGGGAAGTCTTGTTGCTAAGGAGGTGTAGGTATAATAGGGTTATAGCGTCTACTGTTGAGAAAGAGAAAGAGAGAGAGGAGGGGGGGGGGGGGTTTAGAACAAATGCAGAGTTAGAGGGGTGTGGTATTTGATGTCTGTCGTGTTAGGGACAAGTTTGAGGGATTGACCGAAGATTTGTTCGCGGAGAAGTCGGATTGTGAAGGGTTTTTTCTATGGGCTGGATATAGCGGTGATGCTTCATGAAGCTGATATAGGTAGCGTTGTTGTTCGCTTGTGGTGGTTGGTGGAAGTGCTGATCAGTTCTGTATTAGGAGAGATGTAGAAGAACGAGGGCTTGGAGAGAGTATACGGATGTATAGAAGTTATAGGTTTGTTTGAGGATGTTGTAATTAGAGAAGAAGAAGAAGAAGATAGAAAGAGGACCTTTTTTTAATTTGTCCCTCTAGGTAGGTTTTACTTGTGAATTCCTTTTACTCGGAAACAATCCTATCTGAATAGGGAACTTACTTACCTAACTATTATAAGCTTGAACTACCTAAAGTAATTATAAGATGCCCCGATTAGGTAGGTATAATTCATATAACTTGACCTTTTGTCTCCTTTTCGGAGAGTAATCTTTTTCGACGAGAGTAAAGTATAGCGGGGAGCGGAGTGAAGTTGCTTCGAGGATAGTAAAGCTTTACTAAGGAGTAAGTTAGTAATAAACTATATGTAATAAGGAATACTTCTCTTACTTGAGCTATTTCTAGGTACTAGTAGCAAGCTAGGGTGCCCAAACAACTCTTTTACTCAAATATATAGTCGACGATAGCGAAGATAGAACGAGCGCAATATACATACCTTAGACAGCCCCCGTACTAACCACCTCACCGAGTCCGACTTCGAAAGTGCGCACTGCTCAAATATCGACAACAATAACCCACCTGAGGACCCCTACGCACGCACGCACGCACTTCAGACATTCAGAAAAAAACATTACATGTATATCTAAGCTATACCAATTCCATACATCCAAAAACGGAGAAAAAAACTCAACTATTAAACCTCATCCCCCCCACAGGAACAACCACCCTCTCCCACTCCTCAATCGCCAACCTCGCCGAAACCGGCATCGGCCTCTCCTCTCCCTCTCCCTCCCTCCCCATCTCCTCTTCCCCAACCTCCCCATCCGCCACAGCCCCAAACCTCACTCTAACGCCCCCCATCCTCTTCACAATTCCATGGCAGCCCGTCGCAGAATTCACATTCCCCATCAACGGCGCACCAAAAGCTTTTGCCGTCTCGAGCGGACTCATAGAGATTTTAATCCCCAAAGTCCAATATCCGTAGAAAATGGGTCCGACGGCGAGAATTGCGAGGAATTCGATCAGCGCGGCTGCTCCGAACCATTTGAGGTCTGAGTGGAAGACGTTGAGGGTTAAGGTTTGGTTTGCTGGGATGGTTTGGTTGAAGGTGAGAGGTGGTGGTGTTGTGGAGTTGTTGGTGTTGTTAGCAGCAGTGGAAGCGGCGGATTGCAGGCCAGCACGAAACATGATAGTGTTGAAGCGAGCGAGAATATCCTCCGTAGGGTCACGAAAAGCAGATTCGCAGACTTCGGTGTGAAGGGCGTGGTTGAGAGAAAAGACATTAAAAGTATCTTGTAAAGGGACACTGATATTTCCGGCGCGGTCGGCGGATTTATCCGAGGGGCCGAGAGAGGCGTTGGAGAAGAATTGCGGGTCGAGAAAGGCGGCGAAAGAGGTGAAAGCGAGAGGTACAATGGGTTCGGAAGAGTTGATGAAACTGTTGTTTGCGACGGAGAGAAATTTGCCGGACCGCAAGGTGGATTGGTCGACGATGTCGTGTTTGATGATTATGTCGTATTCGAGAATGGCGGGGACGAGAGTACAGATGACTTCGTCGTAGTGGCCGGAGCAGTTGGTGAAGTTTGCAATGCCGACGAGAAGTTCAATTTCCTCGGGGCCGGTGAAGTTGGGGCGGAGAGAACTCTCGTAGAGTTGCACTGCAAAGACAGGTTTGGGGGAGATTTTCCGGGGCTTGTAACCTGAGCCCCAAGTGGAGGAGCTATTGGAGAGCATTTCCGGAGTAATGGGCCACGTTTTGGTTGTGCAATTTTGGACCAGCATACCGGGCCCACGGACGGCGGCAAGGCATTTACCTGTGCAGCCACTAATATTTCCACTCACGGTGGAATTGGCCAAGTCTTCATTCAGTACCTGGTTGGCAGCTTCACTCGGCTCAATGCCATTACTGTCACGAATCCCAGACCATCCGGCAGGTAATTCTGGAGAGAGCAGAATTTGTAACGTGGCAGGCTTCGTCTGGGTCTTGGAGACAACCGAAGATGCCTTCTGGAGCAGTGGGCCATCAATCACGAGCAAAGCGGACAAGATGGTGGCGAGGGCGACCAATTTCGCGTGGCGAGCATTCATGACCGCACGAAAGAATCCTTGACTCGCTTCCCAGTGAGTGTGCAGCTGCTGGAGCGTGTTCCCGCGAGAGGCATAGTACCACCAAGCGAGAGGAGCCGCCTGGGCGAGCGCAAACTGGACAGTGGTATTGCAGACGGCGGCAAACATGGCCAGGAATACACTCGGTGACCAGGGCCAAGTCTCCGTGGATTGGCCATCAGAGCCTACCAGTAGGGCCATGGATGCAACGACGCAGCTCGTGGCCACGAGGAGGGAACCGATGCCGATCAGTGGTAGAAGTCGCATCCAAGTGGGTATCCATGCGGGCTGTTCTTCATTCTGTTGCATCGACAGGCTGCGGATTTGGGAGACGAGGCCTTTTCTCTCGCTCGACGCTTGTGCGGAGCCATCGGTCTTGGATTCGGAAAGAGAAGTGCGCCGTCGCGATAGGGGAGGCATCTTTTCATGTTAGATGTGGTTCCGTCACTACTACTACTCCAAACGGCGCTGGAAGGTGATGTGAGAGCATCGCTTCGACGACAATACGATGTATATATCCGCAGATAGCATTGCTGCCACAGTCGCCAGGAGAGAGTTTCAGAGGCTCGAGTGTTGTCAGGGTAGCAGGGCAATCAATGGGGTAGACCAATGAGCATGCCTCCGTTGCACACCCATCCAAATTGTCCCATCGCCCAAACTGGTGATGACTTCAGCAGCTACCTTGCATGAAGATGGGACAACTTTCCAATTGACATGTGAGTAACCTCTTTTTCTGCCCCAATTGGGCCAACTGGCTGGCTTCTCCTAGGATCGCTTCGGAATGCAGGCTTCTGCGGATAGACGGATTCGAATGATATGCCCTCGTTCACGGTCTAGGTTCAAGCCTATACAGTAGGTATGCCGTCCTCGAACCTCAGCATCCGAAAAAAAAAAGAATATGCAAGGAGGAGCCGTGAAGCCACCATCGGCAACAACATAGTCGCCACCTCTCACTGCGCAGTAGGTAAAAGCTGCAACGTAGCATTATTAGATGTGGATGTGTCTAAGCCTCTACAACGTGGCAACAGATGAAACGAGATTGTTTTGGGGAGGTCAATTGTATGTGCCTTGGTGCCTAAGAATGTCAGCAGTGAGCACGGTACTTCCATCACATGCATATGGGAAGTTGCCGACAGGGCTGCCCATCCTAATTAACAGACTTTGGCTCAAAGGAGAATAAGCTCATAGGCCATGGGCATGCTTGTGCACAGATTTCTCAACCGACTGGTGAATGTGTCCCTGGTGTGCGGCATATGTGAACGACTTGGGCCTACAGTTTCGAAGCTCCAAGAACCTTTTTACTCATTGCAGTTTCTCGGCAGGAAAGTCTGTTGTGAATGGGAACGACGTGGAAGACGGGGAAAGCGTGGGGTGTGGAGTAGAAGTACATGTAGTATAAGGTCAGGTAGGTGGTCAGGCTCGCTTGGCTGTGAACGTGATCTCGGCCGACCTGTTTCCGCAAGCAAGGATTCTGCAGCTCAAAGCCAGGACCAGCCGTCTGAGAAAGTTTGCTATAATTTCTACTTGCAAGCAGAAAAGGTTTCCATGGCTCCGTCTGGTGGGTGAAAACTGACAAGGAGTAGCAGAGCGAGATATTATGCCGCCGCTGATGACTTCATCACGCCACGAGCTTTTCGAGTGCTCCCTGGATCACTGCATTTGCCTTATGAACCCGTAGTTGAAGATACCAGGTCGTAGCCTGGTAGGAACAAGCAGTGGTGGCTACGTCAGTCCAGACTTCCCTGATTCCGCCTCGAAGCCGCGAACCTCTTCGGCCATGTCAGAGTCCAACAGCTGCACTGGATGTCGTTCGGTGTCTGGAGAGTGGAAAGCTTGGAGAGTGACTGACGAGGCGACGATCACCAGGGCTGGTATCCCTGAGCTGGTTGTGCAAGCCATGATGGAAAGGTGAGGCCCCGTTGGGACAAGCCAGCGGCAAGACTACCTCCGTTCCGGGTGGCCTGTAGCTGGCAGCCCATATGTGGAAATGTACGTATAGCCCCACATAGGGTGTCAGCACAGAGAAGGCTCAACCGGGGGAATATGTTGTGGAAACGATCATAGTAGTCCAGCTCTCGAGCACTCCTCAGCAAGTAGCGCGCCATGTATGATCGATCCCCTTGTTGTAGTCGTCCCAACTTCCCAGCACCGGACTCGAGCGGCCAGAGACTGCGTCCTTAAGCTTTCAGCATGTCCTTGATGCACTCACGCTCAGAGAGCGAGCACACCAGCTTTGGTGACATCCATAGCATGACCACAGCCAAGTAAGTGACAGTTCTGTCTGCAGTGCCACGGAGCATACCGCCCCATGTTGCAAATGATACTGATCACTCTGCCAGCTCGCGCAGTACCCTACCAACTGAGCCGGCCATCAACGGCAGACCACAGAAGATTGTAGACATCATCTGCAAGCTCAGTAACCCCCATGATGTCGGAGCTCAATTTGTACAAAGCTTGAAGTGCACACGGATCGTGTCTTGAAAAGGGATGATCGTAGAGCCACCTCCAACTCGGAGGTTGGGCCATGCTGCGGGCATGGCATATTTGCGGCGGAGGGAGATGTTTCGTCGGCGGTGGGCCAGCTAGAGCGGTTGGAGCAGATTTAGCCGCTGTCTTGGGCTCCGTTTCCTGAGATATAGTAGATGATGTATGCCTCTTCTGCCGTGTCGACAGAGAGGCGAACTCGATGCCCTCGAGTACGATCCGAGAGCTTGTAAAGGATTGGCGCGTGCTCGCTTGCTTCCACTAATGTGCCAATGAGTGCCCGACTGCGTCGACGGACAGACCGACTAGCCCTAGCACACGAGATCCGAGATCGAAGCTGTGGTATAGTCAATCATCGCCTGCCTCACATACACTGTTTCTGTTCGACTCCCAGCCTCAGGAAAGTGGTTGGCGGTTCATGACCAGGCTCCGGTGTGACGGGTCCCGGCAGAATCTCTCGCATCAACGTATTGACATCGTTGCCGGCGTTCTTGGCATCTTCCCATTGACGAGGATAGCCTAAGGACACTTCCTCGAAGCGGACGCCGTCAATCCAATCAGTCCGCCTGACATGCAGATGTCCCGTCACCACGACTTTTGCATGGAATCTCGTATGCCAATCATTGGTCTCCTTGGTACCGCACCACAGGCTGAAGCGGGGGACTCGGGGTATATATACAGTATCCTCTCGTAGGGGCCAATGGTTGATGAGCACTAAGGGCAAGCCTGCCGCAGCCGCTTTCTCGAGCTTGATCTCGGCTTCAGACACGAGACGTGTACACCAGGCATCACGTGTCGCATAGGGATCTGGATGAAGCAGCGTCTCGTCGGAGGCTTGAATGCCTTCTTCCAAGGCCCAATCGAGTGCTTGTTCGCGCGAAACCTCGGGAGGGCGGAAGGAGTAGTCGTACAAGGTGAAAATGGGGCAAATGACGGCTTTTCCGGCGGAGCCATCTTCATTCTCGTAGTCCCAGGTCATATAGTCGTCCTCTGGCGTCAGGACACCATAATGCTGGGCGATCTTGACGCAGGCGTGGTATTTGGCTTCCCCGCGCAGCTGCCTTTCTTCCTCGCGCAGGGAGGATAGCGAGCTGGTATACAGCTCGTGGTTGCCGGGAACCCAGAAGACATGCTTGTATCGCCGGGTAGCCTTTCGAAATGCTAGTTGCATATGCTCCAAGGACTCTCCGACTGTTGCGTGATTGTTGTTATTATGTCAGCTGTGCCCGCCTGGCGGCTAACTTAGTAGGACGAAAACGTCCGGGGAGCATACCATCGCCGGCTAGGATCAGGCCGTCATCCTGTCGATGCTTCAGCTTGGCCCATTCATCTCTATTCGACTTGAAGGATAAGTGAATATCAGCAATGGCCCACAACTTGGGCATGTTGAGTGCTGTCCGGTCGGTAGAAAAGGTGTTTCCTCGCCCACTCGTGCCGCGGGTATATTGCGCTACGGGGAGTTGTGTTATTCAAGTAGTTGTTGTTATTTCGACATGGTGCTCCAGCGGGGGGGATGAATGTCACGGCGGAGGCGAGGCAAGGCGAGGCGAGGCGAGGCGGACAACTAGAACTACCAAGTGTTGTGATGAGGCGTCATGCTTTGAGCAGGTTGTGTTGGTGGTGGTGGCCTGAGGATTGCTGATGACCGCGAGATATTATTCTCTTGGCAGACTCCATCTTTCCCGTCAGGTAAAGTACCATAACTACCGTACATGTACCCCTTAGGGCTTTTATAACCTCGACTCAACTAGGATATAATATATTCGATGGCAGCTGCCCTGACCCTACCTATCCTCGTGTCTATAGCACTGCCATTGTTGAGGGAGAATGACTACGACGACGACGATGACACTGATTCTACCTGGTACCATCAGGCAACAATAGCCTCCTGTGCACCACCCAGGCATCCAGGCACCAAGGCAATGACCAGACCACGCGGCGCGCCGTGGGACACGCCAAGAGTCTCGCCCATCGCTTGCGCATCTTTTCCTTTATTCCCTCTAGCTCCGCCCAAACAGCCACAGCCGCTGAGACTGTCGGCGGGAGGCTCAAATGGCGCGGCGCCTTTTCCATTTCGGCGCCAGCAACCAGGAGGAGTCGTCACGGAACAACAGAACGAGTGTCAAGTCCAGCAAACAAGCACTGGTAGTGTACGCCTCCAAGTCGTGGTGGGTGAACAGGCTGACCGGCAGCAGGCAGGATGAAGCTTCAGACGGGATCACATCTGTCTGGCGCTGCATCCTTCACCCTCCGCTGCGAGATGCAAACGACGGGCCTCCATCCCCAGGCGCAGAGGCAGGCCCCCAGTCTGGCAGTCTGGCAGTTCCCCCAGGCCAGAGGCCCCAGCAAGTCTGAGAGCAAAGAACAACGCACAAACGCAGAATTACAGATTGGAGCCGAGCCTCGCCTCGCTGCTTGGAGCGCGAAACAGGCCGCAGACAATGCAGCCTAAACATAGCACGGAAACCTGCACTAAACGGGACGTGACGCCCTCTCATCCAATCATTCCCCAAGAAAAGCGGTGACTTTCCAGCTTGCGTGGCACTCGACCCTTTCTTTCTCCAAACTGTCTCGTATTCCTTTTTTCAACTGCTTCGTTATTTTTGTTGTCATTCAGCTCAGAACGTGTCCGTACAACTGTTCCTCGCTCTCCGCTGCTACTCTCGTTAACCTGGGGGTGATAGGTCATTCACCCTCGTTTTCGGTCCCTGTATAAAGCCCTTTTTGGCGTGCTTTTTAGCACCGACAGGGGTTCTTGCTAAAAGGTGAAACACCGGATATCGAGGTCCAAGAGCGTCTGGAACACGAGCTCCATCTCGTTGCCTTCGACTTCTCCGTGCAACGCAAACAACCATACAACCATACAACATCCACCCGACTACTATCTTTGACGTGACGAGCGAAGGAAACGGTCCTTTCATTCTGGGGCGAGAGGCCTCTATCGCCTAATATGCGGAACAGTCGCCACCTTCTCCTTCCCCTTGCACTCAGTGCGCTGCCGGCCAGCGTACTCGCTGCAGATGTGCTTTCGACCGATGGTTACTCGTTATGTTCAACCTCCGACAGCGTCTCCGTCCAGGCTCTCGACGTTTCTTACGACAAAAATACCAGAGAAATCACTTTCGACGTTGCGGGCACGAGCACAAAAGAGCAAAAGGTGCTGCTGAACCTCGTGGTGACAGCATATGGGAGACAAGTGTACGAAAAGGATTGGGACCCGTGTGGGTCGGAGCAACATGTTGAGCAGCTGTGTCCGATACCAGCAGGATCTTTCGCCAGCAAAGGCTCGCAAATCGTACCAGAGGAATACGCCAGCCAAATACCCGCCATTGCTTTCAGCATTCCCGACTTGGATGGGCTAGTGAAGTTGCAGGTCAAGAGCGCGGACGGAGGGGCAGACATTGCGTGTGTGCAGTCGACAGTGTCGAATGGAAAGACTGTCAACCTGCCAGTCGTGGGCTATGCCGCCGCTGGTGTGGCTGCGGCTGCGCTCGCGGCGAGTGCGGTGGGTGGTGCAGTTGCTGCTGTCGGTGGCGGAGCGGGTGCATCTACACCATCTCCTACCTTCGGTGAGGTCATCGGATGGTTTCAGGGTATGGCGATAAACGGCATGCTTTCGGTACAGTACCCCAAGGTGTACCAAAGTTTCGCATCAAACTTTGCCTTTTCCACCGGGCTAGTGCCCTGGGGCCAGATGCAGACGGCCATTGATCAGTTCAGAGCCAAGACGGGAGGCAACATCACGCACAACAACTACGAGTATTTGAAGAACAATGTCACGCTGGTCCACACGGACGACTCCGGAAACTCCAGCCTCACCAAGCGTGCCCTGGATACACTCTTCCTGTGGGCGCGTGATGGCACAACGACATCCATCAACGGAACCTCGACTGATTTCAACGGGGGCAGCGGCAGTGCGACGAATGAGTCGACCTCAGCAACAAACAATAAAGATCAAGAATTTGTTTCCGGCATCCAGGCCTATGTGGAGCAGCTCAGCATCCCGTCGTCCAACACTTTCATGACTGTATTGCTGGTGTGGGCTATTGCGGTCGCAGCGATTATTGTCCTGATCCTTCTGTTCAAGGCGATCCTCGAAGGCTGGGCACAATGTGGAAAGCTCAGTCCATACTTCGAGTCCTGGCGCAAGCGATACTGGTGGCGCATGGCCAAGGCAATTACCAACCTGGTCCTTCTGCTCTACGGATCATGGACACTGTACTGTGTCTATCAGTTCACGAGTGGCGACTCATGGGCTGCGAAGGTCCTGGCGGGCGTGACTTTTGCCCTGTTTACTGCGCTCCTGGCCTTCTTCGCTTTCAAGATCTGGTCGATCGCGCGTCAGGCCAAGAAGATGGAAGGCGATGCGTCGAAGCTCTATGAGGACAAGGACCTCTGGATCAAGTACTCGCTCTTCTACGACAATTACAAGAAGGGATACTGGTGGATCTTTATGCCGACGATTGTGTACATGTTTGCGCGTGGGTGTATCATTGCCGGCGCAAATGGTCACGGCATGATCCAGGCCGCAGGGCAGCTGATTGTCGAGGCCATTATGCTCATCTTCTTGCTGTGGACAAGACCCTACCAGCGCACGAGCGGCAAGTGGATCAACATCAGCATCCAAACAGTGCGCGTGTTGTCTGTGGTGTGTGTCTTGGTCTTCGTGCAAGAGCTCGGCCTCAGTCAGACCACCAAAACTGTGACGGGCGTCGTCCTGATTGTAGTACAATCCGTGATGACAGGCATTCTGGCGATATTGATCGCCGTCAATGCCATCATCACCTGCGTCAAAGAAAACCCGCACCGACGAGCCCGCAAAGAACGCGAAAAGATGAACCGAGACCTCGACGCTCTCACCCCCCTCGACGCACGAAACAGCTTGCTCATGACGGATGTCAAGCACCCCTTCGTCGACGAAAACACATCGTACAAAGCTGCGCCCATCGTATCTTCCTCGCCATTCGCGCCTGCGAGAGGCCGCTACGATCCCGTCGAGCGGCAGCGAGGGAGACCAGAAACCCCACCTGGCATCTTCCACGAAGATGATCATCTGATTGCGAGAGCGGCGAGTATGGGTGCCCAGGGCCATTTCCGAGACCAGAGTCGTGGCTCTTCAGTATCACGAGACCTGGACTTGGAGCGCGAACCACGTTTACCCGATATCCACTATGGACGAGCATCGTAACAGCGATGATGGGTTGCATTGCATTTCCGCATGTTTTCTTTTGATATCTTGTGACACATTTAGCGACCAAACGAACGACACCTTGAGCAGCTTTTTTTATCATCTTTTGGTTTCTTCTCTCTCTATCTCTCTCAGTGGGGATTCTGGTGTAAAAAAGCGCATTTCACATCGCATCATTCATTGTAAACAGAAGAAGAAGAAGAAGAAACGGGAGTTTTGGGGACCGGACCGAAAACTTGTGAAACTTTTCCCGCATAGTACTGACTTGTAACTTAACGGATGTCGCATGGGAAGGAAAGAGAGGGAGGGAGAGAGAGAAGAAGAAGAAGAGAGACAGACAGACACACAATGAGACATACTTCTTGTGCACCTAGAAGAAGAAGAAGAAGAAGAAGAAGAAGAAGAAGAAGAAGAAGAAGAAGAAGAAGAAGAAACCCATCCCTCTTTAGGAGAGAGAGTATGTGTACAGGTAACTTACCTTAGTAATTATATCTTCCAGTCTTGCTTTGCTTGATGGAAATGAATCAAACCAAATCAAATCAAATCAAATCACATCACATCAATGACGGGAATTACTACAACGCAACGCGACCCAAACCTACCGTATCTTCTACTCCTAATATTCTTTTATCTATATAAATCATCATATCATAACATTTGCACATATTCCATCTTTTGTCACATCATTTCCCCCATCTTCTTCCAACCTGAATAATACCCAAGGTAGTTTATCATTATCATATCCCCGTCCGTCACCTCTCTCGCCTGTCTTGTTTTCCTTCTTCCCTTCTTCCTTTCCCTTCTTCCTTTTCATCCTGTCCTACCTAGCCATTCAAATACTCCCCCACCTGCCTCTCATAAACCTTCTGCAACAAGTATTCCGACTGCTTCTCTCTCAGCTGCAGCAGTAGGAGCGAATGAGGGGATTTTTTGCTCTGATGATGATGATGATGATGATGATAGCTTATTGATCCTTCTTTTTCGTTGCTGTTTTCTTCGTTGGTTTCTTCTTCTTCTTCTTCTTCTTCTTCTTCTTCTTCTTCTTCTTCTTCTTCCTCTTCCTCTTCTTCTTCTTGTTTCTCTTGCCGTTGTTGTCGATAATTCAACTCTCTCAGCGAAAGTTTCGTAGGAGAAGGACGTCGGCGGAGCAAAAGTAACGGAGAAAAAGAGGAATTTTCGTGTCGTTGTTGTCGTCGTCGTTCCTTTCGAAGAGACTTCTTCTTCTTCAAAGAGGAAGTAGAAGAGTCCGAAATGCTACCACTGCAAATCGGCAGCTCGAAAGTTTTCGTCGTCGTATCAAAAGAAGAAGAAGAAGAAGAAGAAGAAGAAGAAGAAGAAGCAGAAGAAAAACTCCTGCTACAGCTACTGCCGCGACTACTACTACTACCACCAAAAGAACTTCTCGTTCTTGTCGTAGTAGTACTAGCAGTAGTAGATAATACCCCCGACCCCATCGAAAAAGTCGAATAACAAGTATAAAACGAAGAAGTTTCCGACAAAGGAGTATGCACCGATTGCGAAAATGACGAATTTGCAATTTTCGAGTTGTTGCGGTGTTGACAATTGGTGGTGTTTGCGGCGGTGTTGCTTCGACCAGTCAAGAACAGACATAAAGAGCATTGATGGTCGATTTCGGAGAGATTTTCTGATATGAGTCGGTGACAGACTGCTGGGGAGTAGATGCCCATTGTCGATCGGTCGGTGGTTTGTCTTTTCGAGACTGGAGTGGTAGTTTTTGAATGAATCGTACGTCTATGCTACGAGGTAGCGAGCGCAGGTGAAAAGGAGAAGTATCAGGAGAGGTATGATTAGAAGAAGGTAAAAAACGTGAGGCGTGCAACACGTCCGCGTGGAGAAGTGGCTGGTATATCTACTTTATCTGCTGTATGCTCTTCAGAGAGAGCGTCACAAGCACAACCGCACTAAAAGACCCCGGTACGGGTTTAGTGACGACGAGTGATCGGATGGCTCTGTTTATACAAGCGGCAGGCTGCATTGGCGGAAGACGCTATTCTATGCGGGTGCCACCGCAGACTCTGACCACGGTTTTTTTCAATTTCGCCTTGTGATGAATTATTGTGGAATCACATCTCACTCTGTAGTGTCTTGTTTGCGCAATAGCTGCTGAGATCACGATATATGTACATTGTACTGGTGGCCATCAGCTGCAACCGTCCTTCACCACCTCATGAACAACTCAGGTGAGGTATGATGATATGATCCGTATCAACAAACCGAGACATAGGCGCGCTAGAACCACGGTTAGTATGCGGATCTCCCTCGTATAGAATAGCTCGCTGCCAGAAACAGCATCAAATACACAAAATAGTAACAGACTATCAGCGTATTATGCATGAAAGCGGACAAGTCATCGGTTTTGAGTGTCGATGTCGTTGAGAAGTGTGAAAAACGAGGTGGGTGGACAGAGGCGAGAAAACTAGCAGGGTGTCGTCTTGGCATGCAGTAAACCACTGCCAGCCTTGCCAGGCGAAGCCCGGCGATATCATGACTTTCTTCTCGTGACAGAGAGAGAATCAATGGGGCCTGCCTGAACACCATTCTGGGTGAGGATTCGTGTGATTCTTTGTATCGTATATGCATATTCTCATAATTGACCTTGTAAGCACTCTCTGCAGTCATGTCAGCGTCGGCAGAAATTGCACCTCATCTCCCCCAAGCTCTCCACCACAAACCAACATTCGCAGCCACAAGCAGATCTAGCATTGCCAGTCCCTCAGGCTGGATGATCAGCTTGCCGAGCTTTGCTTGCTTTCCTCCAAAGCCACCTCCCGCTTTCTCTTGACCGAGTGTCAGATCGAGCTTTCCATCTTCATCAAACACGAAATCAACGCTGCCGTTGTCGCTGCTCGAGTCCAGCCTCCTGTGGAAGCCGGGAAGATAAGAAGACCTCCTATCACTGAGCGGAGTATTCGCCACCTTTGATGAAGCAGTAGGTAAATTGAAGCGCAGCTCCGAGACCTCCACGCCCGTCGTGGCCCCGTAGATCGAAGGTAAGTGATGTCGGCATTTCAGACTCCTACCCGAGACTCCCGTAGAGAACTCGCACCGCGCATTCCAAGGACTCGTGAATGTATAGCCTTTACTTCTTCGATCTGCATACGAAGACTGGCTGGAAACATTCAACGACGATCGACTCGCGGTCCAGCGTGACGACGATCCTTCGTCAAAAGAGCTGACAGATCCAGATTTGCCATGCTGACTGTACTCGTGCGCACTATACTTCGAGCCAGGCATATAGAGGCGTCTCCGGAAGACGCCATCAGGTGCATTACTGTTTCCTGAGCTTGTCGTATCTTGACTGACACGGGACTCGGGTCGCTCATCCGGGAGATATTGAGCATATGCAGGATTCGAGATGTCCAAAAAGAGCGGCGCGCCGCTTCGTTTGGTCCTTTGTGCGGCAGTCGGATTACGAAGAACAGCAGAAGAGATCTCTTCGAGCGGCGGATCATGAATGAGGGCAACATTCCATTGATCGCTTGATGCAGGGTCACGACGGATCAATGTCAGAGACCCTGGCTGCGGGAGGTCTGCCGAGTCAATAGGCAGCGGCGTTGGCTCCGAGACGGGCATTGTGTATGGGTTGTTCTCATCACTCGATTCGGCGCGGCGAAGGAGGTGCTTGTTGTAAGCGTGCAAAGATGGTTCATGTGGTTCCTGATCTGCAGGTGGCGAAGGCAGTGGCCGACTTCGTAGCACTGGCAGGCCTGGACTTGACAGGTTGCCATGGCCGTTGCTACCATTGCTGCTGCCTACCGGCTTACGTGCCAAACGACCATGCCTAGGCGGGCTGGGCGTTCTCCAGTGCACTTGTGATGGGCCATCGTCCAGAGGATATGGTGGGCTAGGAGGTGCAATCGGCCTTCTAGGCAGCACAGGTTTCCTTCGTAGTCTCTCCTCCGGTACTGGCAACAGACGTGATGCATCTGCGTCTACCGATGACGGTCGACTCGGCGGCACTTCATAATCTTCTGTTGCATTGACATGGATATAGTACAGGGAGCTCGCAACATCCTCTGCTGTGACGACCTTCTCACGCGGCTTCATGGGGGTGAGAAAGACATCCCGGCTTCCGGGCACTCGGGCAATGTAGAGTATCAGTGGCAGTCTCGGCGTCTCTGGGGGAATTCCTGCATGTCGGGGCGGATTGGCTGCAATGTCGGTGATGGCTGAGAGAGAAGTCGCTTCTACTATGGTAGCTTCCATATCGTATGTCATGCTTCCTGGCGTATGTGTACCTAGTAAGGTGGATTCGTCGTGGTTCGATGTCTCCGATCGAAGCGAATATGTGCTCCCTGTTGCCAGGCAGTCGCGCTCGACTATTCCACGCAGCCGCGTTACGGTCTCGAGAAAGATGGATGGTGAAGTTCGTACAGAACAAAGAGGAATGTGCGAGATGTGCAACAAATGATGGTTGTACGCAGCCCACACAGCAAACCTCCGTGAACGAATCGCAAGGATTACGACGAGTGAGGAGGCAATATGGTGGCTGAGCTGAGCCCAAGACGGACTATATGTCCATGCGGCGCCGACGAGCAGCAGCAGGCATCACAATAGCTGATCGCATCAGCCCATACGCTCCGCAAGATTCGCTCTTTTCTGTTGTCAGCATATGTAAATCACCGTTGCAGCGGATATGAAGGCCATGGAGTCGTGCAGAAGTGAAAGATGGCACCGGAAGTGTTTGGTTCACGGTTGGCCGGTCGATAATGCGGCTGCCGAAGCCCGAACGCCTGATGCGGTTAGACCGGCATAAGTTCCCCACTAGGTACTTTTGCCCTACTCGAAAATTGAAATTCGGTGTGAACATTGAGGTCGAGTTTAACGACGACAACGCGGCGACTTGCGTATCCACCTCGATACAGCCCAGATAATACTCCAGAATGGCTGAAGAGCAGAAAGACGTCTTGGACGGGCTGGAGGTGATATCAGTCGGCGCTCATGTGAAGAAGAGGAGATCTAACACAGCGACAGGAACGCCTCCAGAGCCACAGCAAAGCTTTCGAATCGCTGCTCGCACTGACACCTGCCCGCGACTACTATGGAGCACAGATTGAAGACGGATTGGACCCCGACAAACAATGGAACCGGAAGAAGCAAACGAAAGAGGAAAAGCGGGCTGCAAAGAAGGCGAAACTGGATCCTGCTAACCAAAAGACTGCTTTGGACGTCATGAAGGAACGCGAAAAGAAGAGGAAGCGCGAGCTGGGAATGGAAGACGCGGAGAGTGAGGCGGAGAAAGAAGTCGAGTCGCAAACCAACAGCAAGCGCCAGAAAAAGGACGAGTTGGATCCTGAAGTAAGGCGGAAGCAGATTGCCGAGAAGCGCAAGGCGAAGCGACAAGAAAAGAAGGCAAAGCTTGATGCGAAAGTCCTGAAAGCGAAAGCAAAGAGAGAGGCCAAGCTGAAGCAACAGTCGGAAGAAGCGCAGGCCGTGAACAGCCAGGCAAATGGTGGCGCTGAGGACGATGAACTCGACGACAATGACGACGACGACGACAACGACGATAGCGAAGATGACGCGGTGGAGATCAGTACCGCAGACCTGGCTGATGTCGACTTTTCTGGACTCGCCGGCTCCGACGCTGGAGACGAGGGGCACGACGATATTGAAGCAATCCATGAACATGAAAACGAAGAGGCATCTTCAGCACCGACAAGTCCGAACGTCGACAGTCCGGCTTTTGACGTTGCAACTAACGTTTCTGAAGCCTCCTCGTCCTCCTCTATAGATCCGCCACCCGCCGTGGACGACACCAAAAAGCCCACACCAAAGCAAAAATCCTCGACAAATAATGTCAAGCCTGTGGCCAAGGTGAATCCTGCGCATGAGCCCAAGATGAAAGCGCCCACACAAATTGCACTTCCCAAATTCGATCCATCCACAACAAACGCTGAGATGCCGTCTGGCACATCATCGCCCAAAATCCAAATCCCAAACGTGGACCAGGCTGAGCTGCAGGAGCGGCTACGAAAGCGCATCGAAGAGCTGAGAGCGAAGCGAAAGGCTGACGGTATCGACGGCAAGCCTGCCACATCCCGACAGGAGCTTCTTGACCAGCGAAGGCAGAAGGAAGAGCGCCGTAAAGCACACAAGAAAGAGCTACGTCAGAAAGCCAAGGAGGAAGAAGCACGAAAGCGCGAAGAACAGCTGCGTGGCTCTGGAAGTCCCGCGGCGGATATATTCAGTGGGCGGAACAGTCCCAGACCTCGCTCGCCTGCTGAGAACAGCTTCGCTTTCTCCAGACTGGCGTTCGAGGACGGCACATCCGCAGATGCTGGTCTTAGCACATTGAAGGATGCTGTGAAGAAGAAGGGACCCCAAGACCCGAAGACTGCTCTCCTAGCCGCACAAAAGAAGGAAGCCAGACTGGCCGGGCTTGATCCAGCCAAGAAAGCGGACATCGCAGAGAAGGACATGTGGTTGAATGCCAAGAAGCGAGCACATGGCGAAAGGATACGAGACGACACGAGCTTACTCAAGAAAGCCCTGAAGCGTAAAGAAAAGGCCAAGGGGAAATCTGAATCCGAGTGGACTGAGCGCAAAGAGGCTGTGGTGAAGGGCAAGGAGCTCAAGCAAAAGAAACGCGAAACAAATCTCGCCAAAAGGAGAGAAGAGAAGGGCTCCAAAGGTGGTGGTAAGAAAAAGGGCGGTAAGCCCGGTGGAGGCAAGAAAAAGCCCCGAGCGGGGTTTGAAGGCAGATTCAAGGCGTAGTAGGTAGGATGACTGCTATTCTTTGTGATATGGAGTGGCGCGCGATTGTATAGGTAGACATACATTTATGACAGACAAACAGGAGTGTGGAGAGCAACTTCATGAGATGGAATGCTTGGGTACCTAGGGTAAGGTAAGGTCAGGTATCTATCCTTAAAAAAAAACCACCTTTTCGACATGTTCCTTTCATTCGCGTTCTCTCTGTCTGTACGTTCATCGTATACATATATATATATGTAAAGTATACCCTCACCGTACACATCTTCCCAAGAATCGAACCCGTCGGGTAGGTACATACCTACAGTACATGGGACAAAAGTGATCTTTCGACTAAACCTCATTGCGTTTCCATTCTCCCTCCCATTGTCAGCTGCCCAGCCTGCCCCCGTCTTCAACACCTTACCCTCGGTACCTCACTGTGTAATTTTCCTTTGCCTTTTCAAAAAAGGAAGAGAATGGATGAATGGATAAGGTAGGAGGCAGCACTTGGCGAGGGAACAAAAATGACGAGTAGGTAGGTACATGTAGGGGAAGGACGGGATATCTATAAGGTCAGGTACCTTACGCTGGGGCTCTACGCGTGCGTCGATTGCAAAATGGTGAGAATGGTGAGAATAGTGAAGAGGGAATCACAGCCTACATGTACGGTGTACCTGTAACCTGTCCTAAATGATGACGATGGGCGGCTAGGTATGCTATCGAACATGCCGTGAATCGGTAAAACTAAAGGTACCTATACAAGGTAGGTTAGGTAGGTAGGTACATGTAGGTAGGTGGCTTTGAAACCGAAAAGTTCCGTTGTTGTATTTTCTTTCTTGCACACTTAGGTAAGGTAGGTAGGTATAGGTACCTTAGTTAGGTACCTACGCTACCTACCTGACATACCTACCTTACTCCTCACTTAAAACATCCATTCTATTTTTCCTCCGTCCATGAACTTTTTTTTATTTTTGTACACAGAGATAGATACATAAGTATCCTACCTACCTACACACGCCATCAGAGGAGTTTCACCCATCATCCCTGCAATGCTACAAGAATACCTATGCAAGTCGGGTATCTTCAAAGAGAAGCGCGAGAATGCCAGCAACACTAAAAGGAAAAGAAAAAACACACACACGCACACAAAGAAAATACCAGAACTCGCAGTAACTCTCGTGTGGATAATAGAGACTCTAGTCGTCCTTCCCTCCAGCGCTTGGGGTACTGGGAGTAGACTAGTCCATACATTTTCCGTACAGTAACAGCCGTAAGTTGTACACTCTTTTCTCTTCCTTTTCCTTTTCCTTGCTTCGATCACAATTTTTACTTCTTGTTGATGTCGAGGAGCTTGACATCGAAAACGAGGGTAGCTCCGCCGGGAATGGAAGGAGGCGCACCACGGCTACCATAAGCGTGGTTGGCAGGAATGGTGATACGTCGCTCACCACCAGCAGCCATGCCAGCGATACCAATGTCCCAACCCTTGATGACCTCTCCCGAGCCGAGCTTGAAGCTGAAAGGTTTGCCCTTCTTGTTGGAATCGAAGACCTTGCCGTCCTTCTCGAGCTTTCCGATGTAGCGCATGCTCACGCGGTCACCCGATTTGGCGGCTGGACCAGAACCGAGCTTGCGGTCATCAATCTTGACGCCCTGAACAGTACGAGGGCCGGAGGTAGCAGCAGCCTTGTCCTTCTTCGCGTCCTTGGTAGGGGTTGGGCCTTGCTCGAGCTCCTTGGCAAATGAGACCTTCTTGTCAGACTTGTTCGAGCCTGGGGCCTCGGCCTCCTTCTTTGCAACCTCGTCGGCTGGGGCGGCAGTGCCGTCGTTCTTCTTCAGTTTCTTCAATTGCTTCTTGCTCAGCTTCTCGTCCTTCTTGGTAGCATTGGCGATTAGCTCGTCGATGGTGGAGCTGTCGGCCGTCTCCTCCTCAGCGGGGCGCTTGTTCTTGCCCTTCTTCTCGGCTTTGGTGGCCTTGACGAGCGCTGGTGCCTCTTCATCATCTTCGATTTCGGTGATGCGTGGGTCCTCCATATCGTCGAGGTCATCCTCCTCGTCGTATTCGTCCAGCTCATCGCTGTCTGGCTCGAGATCGTAGTCGTCCTCGTCATCACTGTCTGGGTCGTACATGCCCTCGTGTCCGTGGTGGTGCTCATCGGCTGGCTGGACATAGTTGCCAGTCAGGTAGATGGAGTGGGTACCAGAAACCTTGAAAAGAACGCGCTCGTTCTCGCCAACAGTGATGTCAAGCGGTTGCTGGTAGTTCTAGATAGAAGCGTCAGCATTTTCCCATGTAATATGTTGCAGACAATATAACTTACTTTGGTGGGATCCAGAGTGCAGATGACGAACTCCTCGTACTCACCCTCGTCGTCACTGTCGGTCTCCTCGTCGTCCTCGTCGTCCTCATCATCCGCGGCAGGACGCTTGCCAAGAGCTTTGGCAGACTTTTTGCCGTTGACAAGCCCTGCATCCTCCATATCCTCGTCCTCATCGTCCTGCTCAGCGATGAGCTGGGCAATGGCTTTTTGAGCAGCAGCCTTGCGGGCAGCCTTGGTCTTGGCTGGGTCGCTTGGGCCGCCATTGACCTCTTCGTCTTCGCTATCTTCCTCGTCCGAGTCGCCTTGCTCCCCGATCATGCGCTCCAACTCCTCAATGTCGAAGTCGTCGTCGTCGTCGTCTTCCTCGTCCGAGTAGTCCTCGGTGAGCGCCTGGCGGATAATTTTCAGCGTCGCACGGGCTGGCACACCCTCATCTCCTTCAGGCTCGGCGCTTGGATCGATGGCAGCCATGGTGATGCGGTAGGCAGACGGAATATCAGGGCGCGCTGGGATGGCGACGTCCCCACAAGGCACCTCGAGGCCATAGAGGGCCATGGGAAGCATACCGGCCATTTTGTTGTACAAGACTCGGGGGCAAGGCGTTTTCGGCGATGTGCGCGACCTCCGTTGGTCTATTTTTTGGACAATACGATAGAGCGCGGATTGAAAGGCACTGCTGTCGAGATATTGACAAAAGTGGTGTTGATGTGGGAAAGAGGTTCAATGTGGCTGGACATTTTTTTTCTACAGAGCAGAGCTTGTTGCTTGCTCGGCGCGGCCCGTCGCTACAGTAGCTCCACTCTGCTACGCGACGGTCACGACATCACCGCGTCCGCTTCGCGACAGATACAGGTAGCCGACAAAGAAATTCACAAGTTTTTGTGAACAGCAGGCTGGAGATGGGTTTGCTCCTATACCGTGGCGATGATGTTCTAAATGATCGCGCAACGAACACTCGACACACTTCATCTGCATCTCAGTCGCCACCCTCATCTCCTAGCACGGTTCCAAACAATGCCCGACCAGCGACACGATGGGTTCACGGCTGGAGCAGAAGAGCACTCTGGTGCGGAAATGCATAGAAAACCACGACTTCACCGACGAGACTGGAGAGGAATATGAGGCCTCCAAGTTCGGCGGCTTCAAGGACTACTTCCGGCGCAAGAAGACCAAACTCCAAAACCTCGATGCAGATCTCCGAGCACGATCGCAAGACAAACCCCAGATCTTCAGGGGAGTGGTTTGCCATGTCAACGGTTACACCCAACCCTCTCTACACGATCTTCATACTTTGATCGTTCAGCATGGAGGCGGCTTCATTCAGTATCTGGATGGCAAGACTATGGTCACTCACATCATCGCGAGCAATTTAACTCGCAAAAAGAAGGAAGAGTTCAAGCGCTATCGAATTGTAAAGCCTGCTTGGGTTGTCGACAGTATCAAGGCTGGCAAGCTGCTCCCCTGGGATACGTATCGAGTTGTGGACGAAGGCGTGGCCCAGAAGGTTCTCGGCTTCGACAATGGACAAGTCGTGAGCCAGGTGAACAAAGCCACGCGGGGCTACCGTGAGCAGACAGACGCGAGTTGGTACACAAGTCAACTGCGTGGATCACAGTCGACCGCACCTAGTAAACCGCCCTTACTTACACAAACTGTCACCCCTGACATTGAAGAGATAGATGATGATGATGAATTTGGACTGCCAGATATTACGAGTTCCGTTGAGCAGGCACTGAATGAGGCCGAAAATTTGCCAACTGATCAGGACGACGGCGGCTCGCGCGCACCGGAAGTCGCAGGTGGACCGCAGACGCCCCCTCCCACAAGTCCGATGTCGCCGCCGCAGGAAGAGGCAAAGGTGGAAATCGAGGCGCAGAGTCCGGAGGCAATCGAACCAGAGCCGCCCCCTGGGCACCAATCTGTCTTGAGGCCACGCGAAGGCTCACAGGAACCAGATTACACGCATTCTCTTATCAGGAATTCTGAAGTACTGAAGAACATTTCTCCCACCAAGCTGGCTGCCATGACTGCGGAAGAGCACAATGCCTTGATACTATCTGATCCGAAGATTCGAAAGTCCACCGTGGTCCACCCCGACTTTCTGGAACAGTATTATCGCGAGTCGCGACTACACCATCTCTCTACCTGGAAGGCCGATCTCAAATCCCAGCTTCAGGCACTGGCTTCCGAGAAGTCCTCCTCCCAAAAGGCCAAACAGAAACGGCAGCCCGGGCAGAGACGCTATGTGATGCATGTTGATTTCGACAGCTTTTTTGCTGCAATCTCATTGAAGAAATGTCCTCAATACAAAGACAAGCCTGTTGCGGTCGCACATGGTGGTGGTTCTGGTTCTGAAATCGCGAGCTGTAATTACCCAGCACGAAAATTTGGCGTCAGCAACGGCATGTGGATGAAACGCGCACAGGAGCTCTGCCCAAGCATAAAGATATTACCTTACGACTTCCCAGGGTACGAGGACGCGAGTCGCAAATTCTACGATGCCATCATGGCTACTGGAGGCATCGTGCAGAGTGTCAGCATTGACGAGGCTCTCGTAGACATCAGTGTGATGTGCTTCACTGGCAGTGGCACTGATGGTGTCAGGCGTGATGAGGGTGCGGTGCATCGGGAACAGAGTAGAGCTGATGAGATAGCGCAAGCACTCCGAGATGAAGTTCTTCAAAAAACTGGTTGTGCTGTCTCCGTCGGCATCGGGGCCAATATACTACAGGCTAAAATTGCTTTGCGCAAAGCCAAGCCTGCTGGACAGTACCAGATCAAGCCAGACGATGTGCTGGAATTCATTGGGCAATTAGAAGTGCAGAAGCTTCCAGGGGTCGCTTGGAGCATTGGTGGCAAACTGGAAGAGATTGGCATCAAATTGGTCAAAGATGTCCGCGAAACATCGAAAGAGAAGCTGATCAACACCCTTGGCCCGAAAACTGGGGAGAAAATCTACGAATATGCTCGCGGAATTGACAAAACAGAAGTTGGAGAACAGGTCGTGCGCAAGTCTGTATCCGCGGAGGTCAATTGGGGCGTGCGCTTTGAGAACCAGGAGCAGGTGGACGAGTTCATGAGTGGGTTGTGCGGCGAGCTGCACAAACGTCTTATGAAGGAGCGGGTTAAAGGCCGACAATTGACCATGAAGGTCATGAAGCGTGCTGCAGATGCCCCTTTGGATCCACCAAAACATCTGGGACATGGCAAATGCGATGTCTTCAACAAAAGCTTGCAGCTCGGCGTTGCCACCAATGACCACGCACTGATCGCGAGAGAGGCAATTGCTTTGATCAAGTCGTTCAACATTTCGCCAGGCGAGCTGCGAGGCATAGGCATACAGATGCAAAAGCTGGACCAGATCAAGGTTGGCGCTGAGGGTGCGGATCAAGGCAGTCAACGACGATTGCAGTTCAAAGCCGGCCCTGGCTTTTCGAAAGCTGCACCATCTGTACCGCCAGTAGTCCCGAGAGATGACATCCAGGATGAAGGCCACACGCCGCCAAAGAAGCGCATCGCTGAAGCCAACAAGCCAAGCGCAGCATTCCGTCCAGCCAATCCTGGAACACCAAGCAAGAAACCACTGAATGTGTTGGGCACGCAGTTTGTACTGCCGACCCAAGTCGACCCTGCCGTCCTTGCTGAACTCCCTGAGGATATTCGAGCCAAGCTCGCTCGCCAGGTGCACGTCAAGGCTGGCGTCGAAGAAGTAGAAGAGGCTCCGCCAGCACCAGAGGTCATTCCGAAGCTGAGACTTGCCGATACGAAAGACTCTCTACCCCCGTCGAGAGCCCATTCACCAGCGACCATTGTGCCGCCACAATCGCAGCTTGACCTCAGCATCCTCAACGCATTACCCGCAGACCTTCGAGCTGAGGTGCTTGGTTTCTACAAAAAGCCCCAAGCAGGCCCAAGCAGACAAGGCGACCAATGTGTACTACCGCAATCGCCTCGCAAAAATCGTACACTGCCACCCCCTCCCCCAGTAGTCAAACGTGGTCGTGGACGTCCAAAAGGCGCCAAAAATCTCACTTCTCGTTTACGAAAAGTCGCAAACGACCGATCCACCTTAACACAGTCCAACTTCATTGCTCACAGCGCGCCCATACCTGCCATATCCGAAGCAGTAGCCTCCCATTCGTCCAAAAAATCTGCATCCGAAGTCGAAGAAGAGCAGCAGCTCGACCCAGAAGTCCTCGCCGCATTGCCCGCAGAGCTTCGCAAGGAAATCCTCGCGCAGCAGCGACAAGAACGTTTACAGCGCACGGGCGGAATTGATACTTCGCTGCATCAACGACCGAAGAAGAATTCATGGCTCAATGTCAACAACAAGAAAGAAACTTCGATAGTCGTGACAGATTCGGATTCGGGTCTGCCAGAACAGCATCCACAACGACAACAACATTCTTTCCTCCTCCCTCCTCGACCTCCCCAACCGACTTTCACGAGTCAAAAACTCAGCACATTGCCCGAATTACGCAGTGCGATTAGTGCATGGTTCCAAGAATTTCAGGATGAAGCGCCTTTTGTCGAGGATGTGGATGCGCTGATTACATATTTGAAAGCTGTAGTTCTAGACGAGAGGGATTTGGATAAAGCTGTCAAATTGGTGAAATGGATGGCTTGGGTGATTGAAGAACATGGTGAGGATGTGCCTGAAGATGTACTGAATGGTTGGACGGATGCGTTGGGGAGGACGAGGAGTGGTGTGCAGGATGCTGCGAGGGAAAGAGGGTTGGGGTGTGTTGTGTTTGAGTGATGTTTGAGTCGAGGACGATAACGAATAATGCAATGTCACAACCAATATTGATCTTCTCGGTAAGCCATGAAGGGCTGAATGAATTCAACGGGTGAATATTGAGAGAAGCTTGCCTGTGAGTCGTTGAAGTTGCATTGCAGGAACAGATGTAGATGAGTGAAGAAGAAAGTGATGTTTGCGTCAAGCATGTGGTCATGAATTCGATGCGAGCTGCCTGTGATATCTCTGTTCGAGTCTCTACACGCCACTTCACAGTTCGTCCCAAAGTCCCTCAGCCGTACGCCATAATCATAAGGAGGATGAAGAGAGCATCTAGAAGACAAGAGCGGCACCCTTGGTCTTCTTGTCACCACTGCAAATGATGTCAGTACGAATGTTGTGCACACTGGAAGTGGAATGAACGTACCCCAACTCGAAGTGCTTGCAACGCTTGAGTGCGAGCTGTGCCTTGGTCTTGCACTGAGTACACTCTAATCGGAGCACGACCTTCTTGGTCGTCTTGGCCTTCTTGTGGAACACAGGCTTGGTCTGACCACCATAACCGGATTGCTTGCGGTCGTAACGTCTCTTACCCTGAGCGAACAGGGAGGCCTATAGAAGAGCGTCAATATTATGCAGAAATATAACGAGTGAGGAAGAGAGCAAAGCCTCTTCTTCTCTCCATTCAAGGAAGAGTGTTATCATACCTTTCCAGCCTTGTACTGGGTGACCTTGTGCTGGGTGTGCTTCTTGCAGTCCTTGCCCTTGCAGTAGGTGCGGCGAGTCTTTGGTACGTTCACCTGTTAAATAAGACATGCGTGGTTAGCGACATGGTCTTTTCTTTATTCAGGGACGTCACGTTGAACAACGAATGGTCTTCAACGCGGCTCTCCGATGGGAAATGAATCCCATCCACCTTTTTGCGCCACGAGGACGCGAAAGGTGTTCCGCATATGGTATGTGTGTATCCTTTTGTCTACTGCTTCTTCCTGTCTATTTGGCTTCTCATAGCACAGTGCATGCATGCGCACAATGCGCATCTTTGCAGAGTCTTGCCTCATCCATCTTTTTCATGCTTCCATTCAATCATCCTCCTCTTGCGATACCATTGCGAATCGGAGAGCGGCGCTGTTCGTTCATCGTAGTGACTTTGAGCTGTTTCTTACCATCTTGGCGGTATTGCTCCGGTGTTGAGGTCGTTGGGTGGTGTAGAGTGGAAGTCCTGTATCTTCTGATGTTCCTGCAAATGCGGAGTTGAAAATCGGTGGAGGTCTCGCCAAGAATTTGTTGTTTCCTCAGGCACAGATCACATGATTTCGCGATGCCTTCACTCACAAGCGTTCTATGTTTGTGCGACATTAACGACAGCATCGGAGCTTTTGTGGCATTTATGGCTAGGCACAAATCATCGGACAATACTTAGCCAATCGGCATCTGTCTCAACGGAGACTTGCAAAGCTGTACAATCCTCGATCGTGGCAGCAAGTCTGGAGTGGACCATAATGCCGATTGGAGCTGGTAATGGTATGGCTTTACATTCTCTTCAATGCTGCGCTTCGAGGTATTATATAAGAAATGTCGTCGTAAAAGTGGTATCGTAGACTCCTCACTTCTCCTGGCTTCAAACCCCGCCTTCTCATATCACCAACAGCACCACCCTCACTTCCTTATCCCAGCCTTGGTACTCATACTCCTCGTTGCCTTGATCTGTGCTCCAAGAGGACTGGCCGGCTTCACCTGTTGTGCAGCAGCCTGTCCCAACTTCGACAGCCCATTATATCCTTTAGTCTGAGTAGACACTGTCTCAGCAAATCTCCCCAAATCAACAGGATATTCAGATCTTCTACGCTACCTGGGCAAGAATGGCCAAAGCACTCATGACAGCCGCAGTGCCAACCATTCCAGCTCGCACAGTATTCTGCCCACTCCACTTCTTGATCAAATCGAGTGTTTCCTGGTCACCAGGTGCACCAGAAGCTCCCGTGGCTCTAGCTTCGAGAGGTGTGAGAGTTGTAGGGCCCATGACTGCGATTGTGTAGGGGACGATGGAGGGTGCGATGACTGCTGCTGTTGCGTATAGGACTGAAGGAGATATTGGATAGCGGCCTGCGATTCCTCGTGCTATAGTAATGGATGTTAGCAAGAGTGGTGCGACTATGCGATTGGTGATACGCGATACGTACTCTGGAACGCTAGAAATCCAAAGCATGCTGCGCAGGTGATGGCAAAAGGTGGTGCAAATGACTTTCCGAGGTTGAACGCTTTGCTCCATTGCTTTGCAGTAAAGGTAGCTGAGTCTTTCGTGGCGCCTGTCTCCACGACTGGAATTGTCAGGACTGAGAAGGAGTAAATGTAGGCTGTTCCCCAATCAGCTGTATGCCATTTGTTGAAGACTCCGCTGTAGGCATACCCGTGAGAAAGGACGCGCTTGAAAGACCAATCAGTGCCGCTGCGGGCACCAGCTTTTGGGCAAAGCTCATCGTTGCAAGATGTTTTAGCTCGAGGTTTGGGGGTATTGGTTCGCGGAGGACGCGTTTGAAGCTTAGTTGGGTGAGAGGGCAAGATGGAATGCGTAATCAGGAAGTGAATGCCAGACTTAAGTACTTCTCTACGTGTTACGCTCCTATGATTGATGGCGACATGGGGGTTTGATCGCGGTGGTATAGTGTGGTTTACAGCGATGTTGATCGCGTCGATACTTACGTGAGGAGTCTACTGGTCGGACTCCGGTAAAACCGAAAAGTCCACCACAGCCCTGATGGATGGACAAGGCCAGGCCGGTACAACGTGGCGGCAACGATTGGCGCATGTTGGTATGAAGAGATGATGTGATGATTCTCGTGTATTGAGCAAATGTTTCGCCATGTAAAGTAAATTGGACTTGTATTGATGAGATGTTGTCAACTCCTAATTCCTGCCAGCTCAGGGCCGAAGCTCACTGGCAGGTTCTAAAGTGGAAGACAGTTTAATTTCCCCGTTCCGAGTGAGCCCATTCACAGATCGTGAGTGCATGTGTAGGCGCAAAGAAGAAAGGGTTATAGGTAAGGAAAGAACATGCAAGGTACGTTGCGCAAGCGTAGCGTGGTGATTGTGGAAGATCATGCAACCTTCTTTGGTTCCGATCCTTTCACGAACTTGGTATGCGTGCCAGTGGCCACGAGATTGCCTCTCTTACCGTCCATCACCTTGAAGATGTTGACTCGTGTAAAGGCAACATTGCCACCAACACGTTCTGCAATGCCTTCGATCTCAATCTCTTCGCCAACCTTGGCGCCACTCTGATAAGTGATGTGGATGTCCAAGGAGACTCCGCTGCCTGAGCGCAAGTCCCAGCTGGATACTGCCATGCCGCCAGCCCAGTCAACAATCGTGGCTGACACCGAGCCGTGCAGACTGCCTCCACTGTTCATGTGATCCTGTGAGAGAGGCAGTCTGGCGACGACGTGCCCTTTGGTGACATCGGTGATGACGATGGGCGTCAAGAGGAACTTGTAGATGGGGGACGTAGGCAGCTTGGTACGCACGAGTTCCTCGATGTGCAGGTGCTCCTGACTTTTCTCACCAGTCATGATGGGCGATTGCTATGCATGCGTGTCAGTCATCTGCAGATACACCACGACTACATCGGCCACGAGGAGAGTGGCAGAGAAGCGCGTGACGTGCAGTGGTGATTTTGGGAGGGTGTTGTGCGGCGGTTGTACCTTTGAAAACGGAGATTTGAGCGGTGCGAGAAGTTTGCCATCAGCCGTGCGCGCCTCAGTAGTAGAAAAAGCTTGCTTGGAGCTTCTTCATCGTGACGTCGAAAACAGCTGGACAGTGGACACCACGCTCCATTATTGATTATTGTTGGCTGCTCACTACGCGCTCCTCTTATACCAGTTGAGTATTGCTGTCTCGCGCTTTCCTTCTCCTTCTCGCTCTCTTCTTCCTCTTCTTCTTCTTCTTCTCCTCCTTCTTCTACCTCCCCTTCTTCTCTTGCTCCTTGCTCTCCTTTGGCTCCTAAGACATGCTCGTATTGTGGATATTTGGCGAGACGCGTGATGCAACCGGAAGCTTAGTTGCCTAGAATCAGCTGCGACGATCGCTTTTATTCTCTCCCACTTCCCCTTTACACGAAACGCAGTCAAATTGGCGCGTCTCGATCGCCTTCCAGGGCTCTCTGGCTGGGCACAGACCGTTAGGAAGAGTTTACCTTCATTGGTGTGCGACTCTGAACACAAAGGCAGGTCAGCGACCCAGCCAAAGACAGGGCCTGCTCAATGGGCCGACAACACGCCCAATATGGCTGCCCAGGAGGAGAGCGGGAGGAGCTATCTGAGCAAGCTGTCACCTTGGACACGAAGTCCAACAATCATGCCCAGTAAAGACAAAGATGGAGAGCCAGAACCAGCACCATTGCAACAACAAAAGGGAGCAGACCATGTAATCAGCCATAGACACCGACTGAGCCTGCGGAAGTATCCTCGAGATTGCCCCAGGCTACGACCACAATGGTTCCACGCCGTAGATGTGCCCAAAAGACGACCCAACCTCAGCGGAGTAGTGAAGGAGGACGAGAAGCCACCTGGAGTGCCGAAGAAGTATGCTTCGTTCTCGAAAACAGACTCGAAGGCGATTGAAGCAGCATTCCAGAAGCTGTTGGAGGATGAAGATGCAGATGACAAGACGAGGACACCCAGTGGGGATATGACGCAAGGACGACTAGACGGCAAACCGAGTAATGCAAGCCTAAAGGAGCGCACAGCTGGCAATACTACCACGAGCATCAAGGTGCCAGTCAACGAGGACTATCTCTTCGATGTAGACGTGGAGCAGCGAGAGCTAGGGCCGGCGTATTGGCATGGCCCAGTGTACGATGTTCGCAGAGGGACGTGGTTCTACCAAGATGGAAGTGTACAGCGGCCGTGCGATGAGAACCTGGCCGCGCAGCTAGAAGAGGGTTACCTGAAAGTAAAAGCTTGGAAGCTACCGCCACCGCAGAAGGATATACCACTAAAAGCACGATCAGCTTCGCAACCGAAGTCAAGACCAACTTCATGGACGCCAGGGCAAGATATCAGTGCGCTAACAGAGCAGACTATCCCGTCCAAGGGATCCAGCTCAGATCTTCGTAAGAAGGCTGTAGAAGACTCTGTAGCAGCAGGTAAGCCTACCGAGAGTTCGCGAGATGAGCATGCGCAGAATACGTATCGGCTGTTCGGAGCACACATGAACAGTGTGGTAACCTATCAGGACGCTACTACCGCTTGGCTATTGACCGACGATTGGATGACACGGATGAATTACACTGTATATCAGCGATTCACGTCCGGGTTCGCAGGTGTCAAAGTCACCCGCGGATGGGTGAATCCCGAGCAAAAGAAGGAGAGCAAAGACGAGAAGACTGGAAAGATGGCCGAGGACAAATCGAAGGCGTCGAAAGACGACCAGACAGGTGAAGACGTGGGGGAGAGCAAGATTGAGCGGGTTAGCACATCCGAGAACATGCGACTATCGCTTCAACGTCAGATGTCAGCTCTGATGGAGAATCCGAGTCAAAGTGAAGATCGTGCCAAGCAAGAAGAAGAGGCACGGAAACGTGATGAACGGGAAATAGAAGATGACTATCGCGAGACCGAGGGAGATGAGCAAGGTCGTGATATCGAGCACCTGATTCTCGTCACCCATGGAATAGGTCAACGGCTGGGCCTTCGCATCGAAAGTGTGAACTTCGTGCACGATGTGAACACTTTGCGCAAGACGATCAAAGCAGTTTACGCAGAGTCACCAGATCTCAAAGCTCTGAATTCCGAGCTCGACGGTGCAGAATCGGTCAACAGCCGAGTGCAAGTCCTGCCAATCGCATGGCGACATCTGCTCGATTTCCCCAAGCAAAGTCTACGGCACAATCGCAAAGAGCACGATCTAGGCGATACTGATATTGACGATGAGGACTATCCAAACCTGGAAGATATCACGGTGGACGGCGTGCCTGCTGTTCGCAACCTCATTACAGATCTCGCTCTGGATATTCTGCTTTATGATTCGCCAGCATACAAGGACCACATCTCCAGTCTTGTGCTCAGCGAGCTGAATAGAATATACCATTTGTTCATGGAGCGAAACCCCAGATTCCAGGGCAAAGTGTCTTTTATTGGGCACTCCCTGGGCAGCGCAATCATGTTCGACATCCTATGCCGACAGGATCGACAGCCTAAGCGAAGAGGCGAGCCCAACATGAAGCTCGACTTTGAGGTGGAGGACTTCTATGCACTCGGGTCGCCTGTTGGTCTGTTCCAAATGCTCAATGGGCGCACGATTGCAGCTCGTCAAAAGACTGGTCAGCACAATCGTGCTGGTAGCCATGTGGGCAGTATGGAAGATCCCATGCTGGGAGCACCTTCAAAGAAGCAAAAGGATGTGACGCCTGCACATGTACAAGGCGAGAATCCCGTGGCAAGGCCAAAGTGCGACCAGATGTTCAATATCTTCCATCCTACGGATCCGATTTCGTACCGCGTGGAGCCTCTCATTTCGCCTGCAATGGCGGCACTGAAGCCGCAGCCCTTGCCCTACACGAAGCGAGGCATCTTTGGTGCGCCTGTCGGACAGGGTCTGACCGGCATAGGCTCCCGAGTCAGTCAAAGTGTCAGCAGCATGTGGACAAGTATGGCGTCAAGCTTGCTGACGCGGGGGCTGGGGTACGGCGAAGAGCCTACTAGGGCTGGTCTCGTAGCCGCCAAGAGCAGCGTACCCTTGTCTAAGGGACTAGGGACAAACGTGCCAGTCGCAACCAGCAGTGGTGCTGGCACAAACATTACTGCAGGTGGTGTTCTTCCCACTTTGAATGCGGGAGATGGTGAAGTTCAGCCTATTGGCCAAGCGAGACACGATCAAATCGCTGCAGACGTCCAGGCTTCTCACAACAAGCAACTTCATCCTCCGACGCTCATTGACAACGAGCTCACCACTCTCTACAGCGACTTTGAGAAACGCCGGAAGTCAGTGCAGAATGATGCAGAGAACCGGGATCTTGGAGCAGGAGGCACCAAAGGTACTCCTGAATGGCAGGAGGCAGAAGAGCGAGGCAAGAAGTTGAGAAAAGAAGAGGACAAGGTCAGAAGACTGAACAGTAATGGTCGCGTGGACTATGCTATTCAGGAAGGCGCTTTCGACATTAACTTGATCGCGGCTATTGCGAGTCATCTGTCGTATTGGAGCGATGAGGACGTCAGCCACTTTATTCTCTCGCAGCTATTGAGTCGGCATCGCGTGGCACGGCCGAGCGCGGGTTCTGGTGGTGGTGGTGTTGGTGGTGGAAGTACAACCGCGAAGCCCAAGTGGGATTCAGCATAGGTAGCCTCTGTTCCACACAATGTGCACTCTTTCCACGTCCCTTGTCACTCGTATGTCCACGTCTGCCTTGTCCTCTTCGTCATCGCCCATTATCCTTCAACCCCCGCGTGAGAGCAAGGGAGAGAGAGAGAGAGAGACCGGTATCAATCAAGGCAGCATCGCCAACCTCCCATTCCCAATCCATCCATTCCATACCCCCCACCCCCCAGCAGCACCAGCAAGCTCCCTCGCCAGATCCTCCGCCGTCCTACCCCTCGCATCTTTCAAACTCCGAATATCCACCATCCCACTCTGATCCCCCCGCATCACCTCCAACGTCGCCGCCTCCTGATACACCACAGCAGGGAATTCCAATTCAGGCAATTCTGACGCCAATAATAACAGCAGCCAGGCCACTTCGCGATGTCCGTGGGCCACTGCGGCGTGGAGACCGGATTGCATCCCATTGAGAGGGTCCTGGTAGCGGAGGATATGGGAAGCGGGTGGTGAGGTGTTTTCTTCTTGTTGTTCTTCTGGGTTATTGTTGTTGTTGGTGTTGCAGCTTTTAATCAAGTCTGCAATGGCGCGATGATCGCCTTGTTTGCAGAATTCGAGAAAGGCGCGAGATTTGCGCTCTTCGGGATAGGCGTGCAAATAGGATTCTTCTTGCAGGATGGGGAAGATGTCGATTTGGGATTGGAAACCTCCTTCGTTGTGGAGATTGACGAGGATTTGGGGGTCAGAGGAGGTTCCTGTTGTTGTTGTTGTTGTTGTTGCAGATGAGGAAGATCCTGCTGTTGCTGCTGGGGTGGTGATGTTTCGGCCGCATTTGGGACATGTTTCGATTTCGTAGGAATCGAGCAGGCATTCCCAGTGGAAGTGGTGGCCGCAGGAGAGTTGGACGTCGTCTGGGACGGTGGCTGTGGCACCTTCATCACCATCATCATCACCATCATCCGTACTCATGGGGATGTCTCCCTCTGCGTCGGAGAGGACTTCCAAATCCTCGTCAGCATCACCATCATCATCATCATCATCATCGTGCACTTCCACCACCAGTGGCTTTGCGCACTTGGCGCATAAAGAAGACATGAATGATGATGATGATGATGATGTGTGTTTAGCTTTTTTCAGTGCTCGGTTGGACGGGGCTTTATGGGAACCGATAGAAAAGAAAAACCATGTCATCCATGTCCGGTGCATGTGACGGTTAGGATGTCTTGAAGAACCCCTGCTCAAATGAGGCCCGTATCGGCAGTTGACTCGAGCCGATTTGCGTTTATGCGTGTCTTAGTGTGGTGACTGGTCGTGAGGTATTATTTTTATTTATCATTTTGCCTGTGAGACCCGTACATAGAGGGAAGACGGCGAACGGTACACCTTGGCCTGGGAGAACTAAATTTACGAACGAGGTACTACTACTACCTTTAACTCTACTACGACTATATTCCTACTATTCTCTACGCTGCTTGCTGCTACTGTTACCGCTGCTGCTGACCTACCTACGCACTCGCATTCATCAGTTGCTCTTCTCAGATTTCCCATTGTTCTCATCATTCTCCAATTGCCCTGCTGCTGGGCTGCCTGACTGCCTGGCTGGCAACGTGACGCTCATTCTTGGGGCCGCTGGGGGATGGAACAGCACCGATAGCGGGCGTGTAGAGAGACGAGTTGCCGCCACCATGGGCGAGAGGAAATCGCACGTGAAAAGTCGTATGGGATGCATACAATGCAAAGCCCGCAGAGTCAAGGTACGCCGCCGATCACAGGGCCGCAAAAATGCCCGTCCGAGAGTAAACTCTCTCTCTCTTTTTTGTCCTTCCCTCGGTTGTCGTTTTGATACCGCAGCGCGCTGACAGCAAGTTTGCCCCATCGGTGCGCGCAGTGTGATGAAAAACATCCGACGTGCAGTAACTGCAGGCGACGACAGGAGCAATGCTCGTACAGACATCCGACGCCCAGCATCGCGTCCACGCCGGACTCGAGCGGCGGACTGGGCGGACTGGGCCAGGCAAATGGAAGCGCCATCTCCTACCAACTGCACATCAAGCAGTTGGAGCTGATGCATCACTTCGCCGCCGAGACCTACTCGACCTTACTGACGCATCACGGTCCGAATCACAAGCGAATCGAGCTGCCCCGACTCGCCTTTGAGCATGCGTTCCTGCTCGACATTGTCTTTGCCATCACCTCCCTCCACCTCGCGCACCTACGGCCGAATGAAGCCCCATGGCGAATCGCAGATGCCATGCGCTACCAGGCGCAAGCCATCGCCGCCACGCGACAACGCGTCCAGAAGCTAGAAGCCTCGGAATGTCGTGCCATGTATCATTGCTCTTCCCAGTTGGGAGTCATTGCACTGGCCTTCCGTGCGGTGGATTGTGACAGTGCCGAAACTTCCATGCCCTCCGAGACGTTTCGACAGTTATCCCACCTGTGGCGAGGAACCTACTCCATTCTCTTGGCGACGAAAGAATTAATTTCCCCGCAAGACTACGATGTCTTCTTTCCCGCCCTGACCTGGGCCGTCAAACCGGATCGTGAACCCACCCCCAGGTTGGACTCCTTCCTCGACATGCTGACCGCAAAAGCAAAAGCAAAAGCGAACTCGGATGCGAAAGATGTGGTGGTTCCGTTTGGTCCGGGGGTGTCGATGGAGCGCGAGCCGATTACCGGCTGTCTGGTCGCCATTGGCAAATTACAGATTCTCTTCCAGCTGTGTGAACCCGAGCCATCTCGAATTCTGGCCTGGCTCGTCGAGGTCCCTCAGGTATTTTGGGATCTGGTGGGTGAGAGGAATGTGCTGGCGTGCGCAGTGGTGTTGCTCTACAGTGTCACGTACGTGAAGCTCGAACATCGCTGGTGGGCTCGAGGAGTACGACGTCAAATTGCGGACGAGTTGTCCCCGATTGTCGCAGAAGGAGATCCCGACTTTCTGGATTTGGTGGCGTGGGTGAAGACTGTAGAGAGTAACACCATGTTTGAATGATGGCTTTTCACCAGATAAGGGATGTTCCAGTCTGAGGGCAAGAGGGGTTGTCACTAAACTTGAGACTTGCGTCGAAAACGCCTCTTCGACGAAGAAGCATCATGGGACTGAGTGAGAGGAAGACCCCACCGTATCAAACACAGGAAGCATCCACCGCCCCGGAGTACCCACGAACGAAAAATGACCATGTCAGGGCTGCTCTCTCTCCCCGCGTCCGGCTCACGAACGCTGGTCGGTCGGCACCCCAGTGCCCTTGCGAACGAACAAGGTCCTCTTCTACCTTACCTATTTACCTACCTACCACCCATCGATGCTCGCACACCCAATCATGCATGCAAGCTTCCCCATCTGGACTGAGTGACAGATCTGCGACGAACAAAAGTCATATATCTCCAAACTCGAGAGCAGCAAAAAAAGCAGATCTGATGGCATCTAATCCATCCTTGCGACGACGACGACGACCAATCAAGGGAGGAGGGCAGAGAGAGAAGAGAGAAAAGAGAGCCCCCCCCCCCCCCCCCCCCCCCCCCCCCCACC